AGTTGTGGGATGAGCTGAAACAATATCTCCCCTCATCATTCATAAAGAGATGGCTGGGCTTGCTCCACCCGTCACAAAGATCTCACCATGGCAGCGCTTCAGCTACTCGATGTAACGTCATGGAGTGATGCAACAGTGACTCGGTGTTGATGCTATTGATCACACTGCTCTCAGAAACAGAGAACACCTACTCTGGAATTCCACTGTTTCCCAGAAGTTTTCCACTCACACAGGAAGTGATTAACAACATCGGCATCCGACGGACTCTCACAAGTTTGGTGTTCCTATAAGTGCTCAAATATGGTTAGATTTATACTTAGTGGAGAGAACTTTTTCCAAGGGTTTTGTTTTGTGCTTTGTTTCCACAACTGGAGCCAAATGTATGAATGTGTGTCTAATAGAAAAGCATTAAAAAAATAAAATTTCAGCTGTGCAGTGAAATGAGTGTCATTCCTAACATGAGTGTTGCTCACAGCTGCACAAACTGGATGCACAGCTGAGAAAAAAGTCACCAAATTAGGCTTTTTGTTGACCACTGTTGTGCAAACTGAAGTTGTTAAGACTTAAAACACATTTACGACAGTTTTATAATGAAGAAACTCAATTACTTTCAAGTTGTTCATAACAATCGCACATTTAAAGACTTAAATAAATGTAAGCCTGGGTTTACCTCGTTTCTTGGTCCTTAGAGGGAAATGAAACAAGGACTTTCACACCTACATTTTTGTTCCAGGTCATGTATTTACCACCGACCCACCTATTCTGTCAGTGGGTTGCTTGGGCCACCTGCGAATGCTGTCACTGGTTTACCCACCTGGCCAGCAGGTGAGGGGCTTTGGTCACATATTTAGGCTTCCTGGGGAGGGAAGTAAAGTCTGTACGGGTGAAATCTGAGGCCACATTTTCAGAAGACTACAGATTTCTCCTCTTTAATAATCAGTCACTTCATTGGTAATCTGTTTTTATTTCCGGGAATGTTTATATAAGATGTAGGTGGATGGCTGAGTCATGACCAGAGCTGGTTCTTCTCTGTTTGTCATGAGTTCGTGCAAAAGTTGTTCTGTTTCTAAATGAAGATCTAAAATCTCTTAGCTGCATTGAGGCGAAAAAATAAATCACACTTCAACTGGTGTTTGGATGCTTTGTTCTCTTATTAAATTATTTTCTGAATGAAGATCTCATTAGATGTGAAAGACACCAGCGCAGATTTCTTTTTCTACTTTTGGGTTTCAGCCAGATTCCCCAGCTGACTTCACACAAGTTGTTTCATGGTAGGATAGTATGGCGCTCTTATGCAGGGGCGCTTCCAGGAAATTTGAAAAGGGTGGCCAGATGGAACCAAAGAAGTTTTCGGGGTTGCATATGTAATTTGTCCATGTAGTAACTCTGGGAGAGTTTAGCCTGTGCTGATGCCTTGCAACCAATTATCCATCCATTTTTTGGCTGCTTATCCGGGGTCGGTTGCGGGGGTAGCAACCTAAGCAGGGAGGCCCAGAGTTCCCTCTCCCCAGCCAATTGGGCCACCTCCTTCAGGGAGGCCTTTAAGGTGTTTCCTGGCCAGCCTTGAGACATAGTGTGTGACCCAGCGTGTCCTGGGTCTTCCTTTAGGTCTTCTCCCAGTTGGACGTTCCCAGAAAACTTCACCAGGGAGGCGTCCAGGAGGACCAAGCCACCTCACCTGGCTCCTCTAGATGTGGAGGTCTACACTGAACCCCTCCCAGGTGACCAAGCTTCTCACCCTATCTCTAAGGGAGAGTCCAGCTACCCTGCGGAGAAAACTCATTTTGGCTGCTTGTATCTGCAATCTTATTCTTTTGGCCACTACCCAAAGCTCGTGACCACATGTGAGGGTTGGAACGTAGATCAACCGGTAAATTGAGAGCCTTCCAGTTCGGCTCTCTCCGCCTTACTGCCAGCAACGAGGACCAAGCTCTGACACCGGACATACAGGGACCTAAAGGCCCGTATCAAAGGTCCTGGTCCTGGTACCCCATACTCCCGGAATGCCCCCCACAAGGCCTCCCTAGAGACGTGGTCAAAACTACAAAACACCTGTAGATTGGTTGGGCAAACTCCCACTCACACTCCAAGATCCCCCTAAGGGGAGTTGTGCTAAGTCCAAGGTTCGACTATCCAATGGACCCTCCTCTCCAGAACCCCTAAACAGACTACCAGGGGGGCTGCTGGGGAAAACTAATATTGATCAACACAACATAGCTTAGCTCTGTAACAAGGATTAAAGCTACAATGGCAAATCTGCTAAACAAGCTAGTTGGTGTTTCTCTCTTGTTTAATGTGGAAATATGGGACCTGGACTCCAGCCAATAAACTATTAAATGAAATATTAACTGCTTAACCTTGTTATGTAATGCATTACTAAGCAGACACCCCCCATGGCCCTTTGTCCTAACCTTAAGAACACTTAATAGTTAACAACAATGGTAGTGTTAATAAAGGGACCCTTATTGTAAAGTGTTACCAAACATTTAATATGATCCAGCTCTTTACATCCAAGTCTGCACTTTTAGACCCGTGAAAAAAGACCATTTATTAACAATAGAAGTTATGGCTTCTCAAGTTTTTATTTATTTATTTAGTTTTTTTGGTTCTGCAGCAACATATTTTTGCATTAAGACTCTCATGGCAAAGCTAGATTCAATAGATCGAAACATGCCTCCAAAGTTTGCTCAACTCAGAAAAAAAAGTTTATTGTTTGTGGTGATAGATACACCCACCTGGTATTGTGCAACTACAATTTATATCTACGCAGAGTTTGAAAACAAAGATCTGAAACATCAAGAGTACTATATTTAAAATGTTTAAATACTATTTCGTGCAAATCTGCACACAGGCAGCGATGCACTGTCTGCTTAGTGGACTCTTGTTTGGCATAACGTCACTAAACTGCCAAATATGTAGCTGCTGTGCGAATATCGGTGTGAACTTTGGATGCAGGCTGAGCATGCACGTCACATAATTACCTCAGCAGGAAGGGGCAGTCAATGTTCTGGCCTATGCAGATTGTAAATCATTTACAGACAATACAGATTTTTTGGGCTCAGTTTACAACTAAACTCCACCTTTTCTGCTGGCTAGGGAGGGATCCTAATCAGCTGAGAGACTCATATGTACACCAATATGAAGGAATGTGAATCACAAAGAGACATTTTTTGACTCTTTGTGTACTTTCATAACAGCTGGAAGAAAAAAGGATCCACTTTTCATGCAAGAAATTTGAGTACAAAGCCAGCATAAGTCACACCACAAAAACAAAGAAGGCAGACTGCTTTTCCTGAGAAAGGTTTTCTCTCTGACACATTATCTTTCATCTGCCACCTCAGCCTCTCATCAGGACTGCCCCTGGCTCTGCCTGTTTCTCTTAATCTCTGATTTAGGTTTTTTTCCCCCTTAATGACTACCTTTAAAAGGCACTTCCTGTGTATGATGACATCACAGTGTAGTTCACATGCAGGAAGGGGAGGGAGCCAGTGGAGGGTGGAGAGACAACTTGGATGTGAAGCCTATTTATGTCTGACGGCACATGGAAGCACATTCAAAAGATTCTGTTTAATTCGTCGTTTTAACGTTTGCTGTGCTTGCTCACTCAGATATCCTGTTTTGATCCAAACATTTGTCACGGAAGAGCAAAATATAACTTCTCCTTTGTGCTTTCACGCACAAATAAACTGTGGATTCCACCTTAAAACCTCTCCTCACCCTGTTGGTCAGAACTTGTCCAGTGGAATCCCAAAAATGTGCCTGAAATTATAAAAGGGGATTCGCGAGCGTCTGGTCTGTGTAAGAGTCAAACATGCGACGATAAGCCTTTTGGGTTTGGAGGGAGGCCCTTTTGGGCGAACTGTAAAGGATTCCCAAACTCCAGCACAAGAACAGTCTGTTCTCTCTCGGGCTGCACACACACACGCACACACCTCTGCTTTCTGCCACTATTGATTCATTCTGCAACTTGTTTGTAGCCATTGTGTCACTGTGTTTGGTTAGTGTGCATGTCAGTGTTGGGCTTGTTTAGCCCAGTTGATTTTACAAAGTTATTCTAACGCCACCTATAATCTAAGTAGGCCAAGTGGAGGTGCAAGCAGTGAAGAAACCATGCATTCCTCGTTATTCATACATTAACCTGAGGAGACCAACACACCTATGTACTTAACTTGCTGCCTTAACGGAAGTGACCCTGTGCTAAGTGAACATCATGTAGGCTGAAGGAAAATCTCCAGGATGATCAGATAAACAGCGGCTTGGCTCGGTTCAGTTGCCAGAAAAAGTTTTGAGCAGATAAAAGTTTCTCTCTGCCTGCTGCTGCGCTATCTTCCCTGGAACCATCCACATCACCGCCTTTGTCTCCCTGCAGATTTGTCCTATTGGCTGCAGCCTATTGTTTACAAAGCCGCGCAGAGAGGAAAGCAACAGATTTAATACAGTTAAAAGGCTGGATAAGCTAAAACCAGGGCAGACACTTCAATTTTATATTTTTTGCAGTTCTTGCAACTTTTTTGCAAACACTGTAGGAGCATGTTACACATTTTCACACTTGCTCCATGTGAAGAAATGCATGCTGTCCATGACATTTTATGCCAAAACTAAAGTCAGAGAAATTCAGATATACGGTAGTTTTAAAATGTGAAATCACATGCAAAATCCCTTGTTTCCAATCTGTTTGCACTTGGAGTGTGTGTTGTGAATCATCCACATTTACCATGACTCTAATTTGTATCCATTTTTGCGTTTGCTAAGGTCAGCTGGCTGTGGTGGCCATCTTGATTCAGGCTGAGTCCGACCATTCACCAATGAAGACTTTGTCCTAGCTTACTTAAAACCCACACATATATTTTGCCAATAAACGTTCATAGACACAGGCAAAAACATTGTGACCCACATGTCCTAATATTCACTGCAGAACAAGAGGGGAGGGGGGAAATGGGACACTGTGCCTTTAAGTGTGATGGGCGGAGCCAGCGCGTCTCCATGGCGGTGGAGCTATAAAACATTTCTCACTACAACACTGGAGGATCTAGAAGTGTCACAGCGTATCCGGAGCGCTGCCAAGTCACTGGCGTCCTGTTTTTGATGCAAGATAAATCTGAAGATCAACAAATACAAAAGAAAAACCCGCGAAAAGCCAAGCCGAGGAACATTTTTTTATTTCTAAGCAAAAGGACTGTCGGGGTCAGCCAGCGGACGGGAAGTGTCGCGTTATTTCGGTGAGCTCAGAATGAATATTTCATATCTGCTGAAACGTGATTGTTGTTTTGTGCGAGTGTGTGCGTGCGTGCGTGCGTGCGTGCGTGCACCAGCACACTTATTATGCAACTTCAGAATATTCAAAATTAAAACTAAATCCACTGAATGATTTAAAAATAATTTGGGACACAATAAAACAGTCGGATTTTGGACATTTATGCGCATCTTTCTGTTGCTGTGTTGTAATTAAAACAAACGGATTTTTTAAAATCTATTCGTGTTTTATGTAAAAATCTGCCTGTAACCTGGCTACAAGTACAAATACTAGAAAGGAAATAACCATTGATCGTGTATCATCATCATCATCATCATCATCATCATCAAAGCTGGCATTGCCAAATAGCTGACTAGTGCGTTGCGGCGTGAGTCACCTGCTTGCTAGAGGGCCTTTAACCATTATTATCTCAATCCGGTAAAGTGAGGGGGTGTGCGCGTTGTTTGCTTGCCGCACAGGTAGAGCGGGTATGGTTGCTCGGATACCGCTGCAGGGGTGTCGTGAGCGGGGTGTGAACTGCTTCTTTCAAGGCCTGAGTGTGACTCCATGCTCCAGTCAAAAGCAAAACTGTCCAGTGATGTCACTTCCCGCATCAGCAGACTCTCCTCCTTCCAGCACCCATCACCCTGATCTGATGTGATCAAGAGAAGGGTCCAAATTTTCTGCTTCTAGGGTCAGAATGAATTACCTGGAAGCAGTTCTCCTTAAGCCCTGCATGACTACATCATTTGTTTAATCCTGTTGCCTGTAAAGGCTCTTGTGGTTAACTGCCAGAATGGACCGTCTTTGCACCTGTTGCAAGAGGAAGCTCAAGCCCCTGGGGGTTCATTATCGAGGATCATGTTGCTTCCTGTCCCCGCCAAACCGAATCGACGGCCCTGGACGGGTTCATCGCATGCCTTGTTGGGCAGCTTGGCTTAAGCTGATGCACCCCGTGCTTCCTGTTGTTCTAGAGCTTTGTTTCTCAGCAGCTGTCAGGTCAGCACTGAAATGTGGCTCACTGGAGACCGGGAGCGTGGGGCCCGTGTTCTACTCAGTCATCATTCCCACATTATGAGGAGTGTCTGTCTGGGTGTGCACACACCTAACTTGGGTCTGCAGAGGAGAAGCTTGTTAGGAGGGGTCTGTTGAAGTAAAGTTGCAATGCATTTCAAGGTTTGTCATTGTTCAGTGAGCTTCCACCACATATAGCATAAAAATCTTGCCACAACCATTGGAAATGTTCTAAGCACATTTCTGCAGAGATTGCAACACAGGCTGACCTCAGAAATGTCAATAACCCACTACAAGTTTGCCACCTCTCTGCATATTGTATTGGTTGTATACACAGTTCTGACACACACTTGACAGGACACACACACACATTCAGGTCACTCGACATTAGCAGCTCTTGCAACACCAGGTATATCCGTGGTAACAGGAGGAGCCCCTTCGCTCCCTGTTCAAGACTAGCAGGATTGCAGCATTGGAGCGTGACACGGTCAAGTTTTAAAATAAACTAGACTTAAAATCCGTCTGCAGAGCAGAAAACTGAAAGTTGCTGATAGCCCTTAAGCTGGTAGACTGCATATGTGATGAGAAGGCATTTTAAATGTACCAATTTGTTTTGGAAATGCAAAACTTTATTGCCCTATTTAATGTGAGGATTTTTCTTTTTTGATGGCTCTGCTTGCTGTATGTTGTAAACTTGTTACGTATCCTTTTCCATCAAACTTTGCTTCCAGTCTCTTTACCCCCATCCTTAATTTGTGGCTACACTGGGTGTGTTTCAGGTAGACCAGGATCGGGGACGATCAGAGTGTTTCCTGGTTTTGATGTGATCCAACTGTACCTGGAGCATGTCCACAGTGGGCCTGACTGCACAGGAGATCTATTTTCCCATCGAATACCCCTTCCTCCGGGGCAGCTACTGTCACAGCATGGCTGGATCCAAACCGTCCTGGAGCTTACGCCATGAGCCCGTGGAAAAGTGAGTGTTCAGGGGTCAGGTCTGGCAGTCCAGTAGTGATGATTTATCAGACATGCATGACACGTTGAAGTGATATGGTTCAGGTCAGTCGTAGATCTCTTGGATAAAATGGTGCTTTTCTCCTGTGGAGTTTTGCTGATGTAAAATGTTGTTTGTGTTCTTTAACAGCTTCTACTTTACTATGAACACTCCACCCATAGAGCACAGCTATCGAATCCAGCAAAAGGGGCCACCTCCAAGCCATGAGCGTAAGTGTGCATTATAAAACTGTATACTAATTTAAGGCGGTATTTCTCCAAATCAGTGACTTTTTACATGTGTTTGTGTGCATGCTTGGATGTCTTTCAGCAAAATATCTTGGAAGCCACCAGATGGACTTCAATGAATATTTTAGAAAAAACTCTTTGGATGTATGTGTAGAACTGATGAGCTTTTGGAGTCAGACCAATTCCAGATGGTTAATTAGTCACCAAAAGCACCAAAAAAAAGCTATAAGTCGGTCCGATTTTATTCCAACATTTGAGATGGTTGGTGGCTGGGTCATTACCAACTTATTTACTGAGTGATAACACATTGCAAGATGTTGTAATATTGCATGACACTGTGCATAAAGTTATTTTCAAGGCTGAACCAAATGCCATCGTCTTTAAACTCAGGCAGGAAAGGAGGCAGTAAATATGACTTCTTTCTAGGAATGCAAGGCCTTCATTATAAAAATGTGAACTAACTTTAGCATTTTCAACTTTTGACATTAATGTTATTGTGTTTTCTTTTCTTTTTAACAGCACATAAACACAGTCCTGTCACACAGAGACTGCATTCAAAGAAATCCAGGCCCACCCATCTCTCCCTGTCCTGCAGCACTGAAGCACACATCCCAAGTCCTGTTGATGACACTCAGGTGGTCCCCTCACTCCAGAGGCTCTCAGTCTGTGACTCCATCAGCCAGCTGCCAACGCCAGACAGATGTTCGAAGCCTCTGCCTCCCATCCCTCTAAAATCGGACTTCTCCCCTGAGCAGGCTATGGACAACGAAGTAGAATATTTCACGGACGAAAGCAGCCGCCTGGTGCCCAGTCCTGACCAGTGTTCCAAACCATCTCCTTTTTGGTATGGACATTCGAGCAGACGGAGCTACAGGAACTGTGGGCAGATTAACCATGCCTACTTTGATGGTCCCTTAAGACCAGAAAGCCACCAGCAGCCTCAGAAGCACACTCAGACACATTCTGCACAGGGGGTGAGAGAACAGTATGAACATCAATGGCAGGAACCACCAGAGCCTTTGGTCTGTCAGAGACCACAGGACAAGGCTCAGAGGAGGCTACGGCGCTCTCACTCCGGCCCAGCTGGCTCCTTACACAAGCCCTCCTCATCCCACAGACGTCATGCCAGCGGAATGGATAAACCAGCAGTCCCACCCCCTATCCCACCACGCCTCAAGGCTGGAGACTACCGTCGCTGGTCAGCAGAGGTCTCGTCTGGGGCTTACAGCGATGAGGACAAACCACCCAAGTTGCCCCCTAGGGACCATTTGTGCAGCTCCCGCACTCCTAGTCCCAAGAGCCTGCCCACATATGCTAACGGAGTGATGCCCCCTACACAAAGTTTTGCACCAGATCCCAGGTATAAATTCGATCGAAGTTTACAAAGACAGAACAGTGAGGGCTCTCCCTGCATCCTACCTGTGATGGAGAACGGCAAGAAGGCCAGCCACACGCACTACTTCCTTCTGCCTCGGCAGTCTGCCTCAACACATCCATCCAGTGACTGCCCAAACAAAAGGAGAGTGGATTTAGTCTAGTCTGGAAGCTTCTAGTTGAAGTCGCAGAGGAACCCGTTGTACGGGGGCAAAAACCACTGGATAAAATAATGAAACTAGATGCCAACATCCATCAGACTGCTGCTGACTTTACTTGTTTGGTTTTTCTAAGACCCCCCCCCCCCCCCCCCCCCCCCCCCACACACACACACACATACTCTATACTCAGGGTATGTGTGCACTGTATACAGTTACTGTTGATGTTGGAAAAGCTATCACAATGGCGTGAAACCTATCGGACTATAAGATTGTGGGCATAATTCAACATTTTAGAGCATATTTTTGATATATGATTTGATTTCATGACCGTCATTACTGTATTGTTTGTGTTGTTATGACTGTGTGGTACAGTTGACGGGTTCCAGCTGGTCTGGGACCTAATGTGCTCAGTGTTTGTTTCTGGAATGGTGGGCATGTGATACACGCAGGCTTTTCTTTAGATGCTGCTTTTGTATCTTCTGAGGGACAAAAGGTCAGTAACCACGTATCACCCAAGATATGAAGTCTAAATCCACTCCAAGTGGATGTTTTTTTTAACATAATGAAGGATATTGGCACACAAATCTCAACTCTGATTGTTTTTATGTATTGAAAATAGATTATTTGACTTCCTGGTTGTAGTTCTAGTCTTACTAAGGCTGACTATGCCAATGTACACTTGTGTTTTTTCTGTTTTTCTCACATTGCACATTGTCCCTGGTAGCTATTGCATGTTTCCATTGGAATGCCCAGTGCAGCTTATGTGGTGAGGTCGTCTAATGAGTGTGTTTGCATGTGGGGGGCATATAGAGCCACTTTCTGCAATCACCAGAGAATTGTTGATAGAAATTGTTACTGTGCGCTGCTGGTTTGCAGTGTGCACATTCAACTTTTTTTTTTCTTTTCCTCTCTTTGTGTCCAGGTCTTTTTGTATTTGGGCTGCACAAAATTTGGTTTTATTCAATGTGAGTCAACATATGCTACTATTCTAGTCTCAAACAGTGGGAGAAACTTAGTTTTTGGTCAAGCTGTGAGCTATTGCTTGAAACAGATTCTCCTCGAGTCCTACCTCATTTTGATATTTCCACATTTTACATTCTCTGTTTAAATCGTACCCAAAAGTCAAAATCTATAGTTTTTTTTGTACAACAAAAAATAAACAATCGGCTTCATATGTGACCTGATAGTTTTTTTTTTTACTGCAGTCACACTGTTAAAGAGTCCCTTCCAACTAGATATCTATAAAAATAATTTTCAGATCATGCAGATCTTAGACCAGGGATGTTAGCCTAACCAGTTAATACGCATGCATCACGAAGACGGTGCAGGGCTTTACCTGCCTGACACAGACTTTCCTGTTCTGCACATGCATTCCTGCCTTACGTGATTGCAGTGGGTGTGGTTTGAAAGACTTTGGCTGCTGGCAGCTGAGAACTATATGGATTTTATTGTTGTAGAATATTGACGAAGCATCAGGATGTTAAAGAAATAGTAGCACATCATGTACTGAATTAACCCTCTGTGTTCAGTTTGGGAAACTAAGGTCAATCGGTCATTGAAGTATGCTTTTCCTCCTTTCTTCTCACAAATCCTCCCAGCACAATATCTCTTCTGTTTTTTTTTTTTTTTAGCTTGAACGTTTGAAATGTTTACATCGAAGGTATTCACATGTCTTACTAGAAAATCATGAAAGTGAATGAAGACTTTGTATATTAAGGAATAACTTCTCTGCTGTGGTTGAGACATGCACTGGGAGAGCTCAGTATGCTTTGTACAGTATTTAACAATTCCATTTGTTCTTATGAACAGTTGAAAAAGTACACAGTCTTTTAAAAGAAAACCAAAATAAAACAACTTATTTATGAGCTTGCCTCGATCTCTTTCTTAAATCAGTGAAGAGTGAACTCTACTCAGCTGTTTGGCCTGTTTTATCACCCACACGCCCTCATGCTGTGCCTTATTGTGACTGGCCTTTATCCAGAGAAAGAAGAACGACAGGTGCACGGTCTTCCTCTTCCTGGCTGAAATACAATTTCCTCTTGCGTGACTGCCTCTGTGCTTTCAGAAAGCCCGCTTTGCTCTCGCAGGTTTTTAATGCTGCTACAACAATGTTCGAAGTGTTTAACTCTTGACACAAGTCCATGTTACTACAGGCTTCAGGCCAGCTAACCACACGGAGCAACAGAGGTCAAACGACACCTACCCAAGTTTTATTATCCTCCCAGCGAGGCGATGATTTGTGCTTCTCCAGTCGAATTTATTCTCATGATTCTCTTCATGGAACAAAAGCTGGCAGAACCATTCAGGCCAGAAACCCTTTCACCTGGTTTGGTCTCAGGTGAGCTGCTTTTAGAGAGGGCATGAGCAGTTTCTATGGCAACTAAACCAAGACAAGCTGCTTGTTTTACAGCTCTGTTAGAGAAAATGAAGATGAGGAAGCTTTATTTTGCTGCCATGGTGCCAGTGAGGCAGCGAGCAAACTTGTGCAGGCTTTAATTTGAGCGGTTTTAGGACTGATTTGTTTTAACATTGCCCCTGAGGTAACAGATGTAATCGTTAAATTCAGTCTGTTTCTGTTTCACTGTTCAGGTGCGGTAACTTTACACACCTGTGTCTTCCTTCTGAGCTTTCTCTGAAATGTGTTTAAGTCTTAAAATGATAGCTCAGTATGTTTTGTTTTTAAAATAGTTTTTTGCTGCTGTTATATTATAAAGAGTTCTTGAACTCTGCCGTTAAAAGCAGTGGTGTCCACGTTTTAGGCCCAAACCACTGTCTACAAGTTTTAGTTGTTTCTCTGCTCCGACTCTAATGATTAAATCGTTAAATCATCTGTCATTGAGTTCAGCACATGCCTCCACATTTGATTAAAATCAGGGGTGCTGGAGCAGATAAACAACTAAAACATGCTGGACGTTGACCCCGGAGGGACCAGAATCCCCCACCACTGTTTTAGCTGTTTCTGTGCTTCAACACACCTGGTTTTAATCAGTGGGTCATTAACAGGCTTCTGTATAGCTTGATGACCTGCCGGTCAGGTAATTAGGTTGTTACTTCAGATGTGCCAGAGCAGGGAAACAACTAAAACATGCTGGATAGTGGCCCTCAAGGACCCGGATTGGACATCCCTGACTTGAAGTGATATCTGGATCGTCAGAGAGAAGCTCGTGGAGGACATCGAGCTAACCTCCAGGTTCTGTACGTCTTTTTAATTTTGTGGCGTTTAGATAGATGCCTGTCCATGTTGCAGCATGTTCTGTATGAGGCACGTTGCATGATACAGTCTTGAGTTACACACCGGGAGTCAGCACAGAAAATCTACAACTGTAGTTTTTATTAATTGCGATAACATTTTTGAGGTTTTGATTGTCTTTGATGATGTAAATTTACCCCTGAATTAGTAGTTAGTATTGTATTTTTTAGTAATTGGCTCAATTGCCTCTTTGCTTCCATAATCACTAAACTCAGACTGATCTCTTTTGTGTGTTCATACTGTGTTTTTGTCAACAAACAGACTGATCTGTTTGTCTGATTACTCATAGATATTCTCCAATGTTTGTTGATTCAAATACATTTTTATTTGAAGAAACACGGAAAGAAAGAAGCATATCAAATTATTCACAAGTGCTTTTTTTATTAGTTACACAAGCCTGGCTTTAATAATCTCAGAATTTGATTGGTTGACTGAAAACAAGTGTAATGTTATTCTTAACAGCAAACAATGGCATAATAATAATAATTTAAAAATTAATAATGATGAACGGAAGATGTGCATGAGCACAATTCTCATCAGATGGGATTTTTACTTGTATTTTTTAAATCCAAGTTGCATCTTGGTTTATGCAAACACATCATCTGGTGTAACATGTAAGAAAAACAGGTTTTACATGTTTTACTATGCACAAAATTATTTTTAAATTAAGCTTTGCCTTTTATAAAAACAAAAGAAAAAAGTGTGCATGAACTGAAAAATCTGACCAACTGGTTTGTCTTTATGCTTTGGATGTAATTTCCTTATCATCTGCTGCGAGAGGCAGACAGAGGGGTGAATATTTAACTGGAGCTGCAGTGCTGCTGGTTAAATTTTACTCAGACCGGTGTGATATATGAAAAGCGGCCCATTAAGACAAGGTAAAGAAACCCGTGTCTTTTCTCTCTGAGGCCACTAGGCGGAGACAAACACCACATTTATGGTTTTATACAAAAGCTTCCTCAGGTGCACTCACACTCATTATTTCTACCACGTTTTCCTCACAGGGGGCTGGTGTCTGTCTCCATTAGGCAAGAGGCTGGGGACACGCTGGACAGGTCACTAGTCCATCACAAACACACAAAGACGACCAGTCTCACCCCATTCTCACCTGGGGAAAATTCAGAGACTTCAGTTATCCTGGACAAAAAAGTTGTTGGCCTGTGGAAGAAAATCCACACATTCTGGGGGAGAACAACTCCACGCAGAAAGGCAACAGCCAGGATTTGAACCAGCAACCTTCTTGTTATGTGGCAGCAGTACTACCAAGATGCTTCTTCAGGTGCAGTTATCAAAATTTATTTTCCAGAAGGTGAATGAAAAAGAAAATCAGTAGCATGTTGATCTGCTTTATATAAATTATTCTGCCACAGTTAAAATCTGCTGCAAGTCAACCAGGTTCTTGGTTTGCTCATGAATAAAGTCTTAACAGAGCACTTTTCACTTTTACTCACTGATCAGATGGTGAATAATAGGCTAAATGTGCTGTTTTCAGTCATTCTGCACAGCTGAACTAGTCAGGTAAATGCACTCCTGCCACCTAGTGGCAAGAGGATATAATGGCTCAGAAATAAAAGTTAAAGATTAGTAACAGTAGTTGACACACATACTGGTGTGTGACATTTTTTCTCTGCATTTAATGTATCCCCTGGGGGAGCGATGAGCTGCGGACACAGCCATGTTCGGGAACAATGGTTTATTCAGGAGACACTTATTTTAATAGAACACAGATTGGTTTTATTAAAATACAGACTCTGGATGCTATTAAACAAATGTATTGCTTTTATAAAAGAAAAAGACTAGATTGCTTTTTTTAATCTGTTCACAATGAGGAAATTTCAACTGACTGGTAAAAGAAAAAAGAATGTAGGTAGATTAATTTCTTGAAAAATCAGCTGAGAGACAGACACAGACAAAGACAAATGTAAACCTACAAATAACACTTAGAGGACACAAACATTTAGAAATGTCACAACAACATAGTGCACATATTTTACTTTAAAGTTGTTTTCAGCTCATAAAACATTTAAGTACAAAACTATCTGACGAGCATTAATTTCTGTAGTTGATGGTCAGAAGCTCCCATGATTCGATGAACCCTGGAACAAAAACATGTTCACCATTTCTGGGTAGTTTAGAACTTTTCTTTTTAATTTACAGCAAAATACCTGATGTTTAGTGTCAAAATTAGTATGATTTATATGTGAAAGTTCCTTGATGTCCAAAGCTCTGATCCCCTGGAAAACAGTAACATATTTATATGTGTTTACAAACAAAATGAATGAATGAATTAAAAAATTAAAAATGGAAAAACAAAACATACTGGTCTCTGAGACATCAAAGAAATCTTCCTCAAAAGGAGACAGTCTTCGTTTAAAGATGTCACAGCTTTTCCTGTAAGATCACACACACACACACACACACACACACACACACACACACACACACACACACACACACACACACACACACAGAGAGAGCTGGTATTGGTATACATGTGGGGACTTGTCATTGACTTCCATTCTTTTTTTTTTGTTGACTGAATTATGCTTAACCCTTATAACCATAACCAATACTGAAGTATTCCTAATCTTAACTCCAGCTAAAAGTTCATTCACATCCCACCTCAAAAAACGAGTTTTAGGTGGTGTTCCATTGTGGGGACGAGCCAAATGTCCCCATCAGGATAATCCTGATACATTTTCCCCAAGATGTAATAAAAACGTGAAACACACACACACACAGACACACACACACACACACACACACACATACACACACACACACACACACACACACACACACAGACATATACACACACACACACGCACGCATGCACGAATGCACGCGCGCGCGCACACACACACACACACACACACACACACACACACACACACACACACACACACACACACACACACACACACACACACACACACACACACACACATTATCATCATTTACAAGAGGCTACCCTTTCTGTTTTGGGCCACTACAGCTCACCAAATGCCCGAATGTCTCCTTTTGAAAATGACAACAACGAGGATGTTAATGACTAGAAGCAGAAGAGCAGCTCCCAGAGATCCAAACAAAACTCCATAGAAAGCTGGAGTTCTGTGGAAGAGCTCACACTGAGGACCGGAGTACTCCTCAAAGCTGGTTTTATAACACCTGAGTTAAAGAGAAAATTACACCAGTTATATTATAAGACAAGTAAGTAGAAATGCTTATTTTATAAATAACAAGAATGTAGGAAACATGATGTCTTACTTGCACAGAGGCCCTTTAAATATGTCATTAAAACAATCTCCCTGTCGATGGCAGAGGTCCGGATTGTTTTTACAAGAACCAACACACCTCCATTCACCGTTAACAATCTCAGCAGAGTACCCAGAATATTGAGAACAGTTCACAAAAGGCTTCAGGTCGGTGATATCTGGGTCATGAAAATAAAATGCATTTAGTTTCTTAAATATTAATTCTTCAAATGCAGATGTGTGATGCAATATTTACTTTTTACTGGAGGTTGCTGCAAAGTGACTTCATTTAACGTCACCTTGCTATTTCCAAAAACATGAGAAATGTTATTGAGGTTCCTCGTGTTGTTCAAGATATCCGTCAGCACACGATCAAGCTGAGTGTTTAAAAACTGGATTTGTGTATCATTGTTTTGGTAGTTGTACTGAGCCACACTTTCTGCTACGACGCTTCCATTCCTTTGGTAAAAGAACAAAAAATGCAGGTCAACAGGACCAATATAAAAATGGAAGTTGGAATAAAACCATTTATTTTATCAGAAAAGTTTGAGGACAACTTACGATAATTTAATGATTTGTACCGTTTTATAAGCTTGCAGGTCGGCTTTCCTGCACAAAACTTCAAGCTGAAACAAAGAAAATAGTTTCTATGTCAGCTAATACACTATAGTCATTGATAACAAAAAATGTTTCAGTAAATTTAAAATTGTAAAAAATAAAAAGTCAAGAGGATAGACATCTTTGTGATCTGTCACGGCATGTGGGCGAGGTGAGTGGAGGCAAGGATCCAAACGCGGGTGAAGAAGGCAGGTAGGCAGAAATGGTTTACAAAGGCTTTAATCTCGAACACGCTAGACATGGAAACAATGATCCAACACGAGACAAAGAACTGAAGGGGTTTAAATACAAGAGGGTTGGGAACTTGGGTGATTGGAAAATGAGAGGCAGGTGAGAGCAATTAACAGAGACACAAGACTAAACCATAAGGGGAGACAGGACAAGGTGTGACAGTATCCCCCCCCCCCAAAGGGCAGATTCCAGATGCCCGCAGGAACACAGAGCAGGGCGGGAGGAGGGGGACCCGGAGGGAGGGCCGAGAGGGACCGAGGGCCCGATGAAGAGGAGGCAGGGACCAGTAGAGTCCGGGGGCCTGCGCCTGGGGCAGAGGAGGTGACGACAGGCTCTTGGGGGCCTGTGTCTGTGGCAGAGGAGGCCGTGACAACGGGCTCTTGGGGGACTGTGTCTGGGGCAGAGGAGGAGGCGACGACGAGCTCTAGGAGGCCTGCGTCTGGGACAGAGGAGGAGATGAGGATGGACTCTTGGGTGCCCGCACCTGATGAGGGCAGGACTGGCGGTGACCGGCGGCAGAGACGCCGGAGGAAATGTCCTTGACTTCTGGACGGGAGGTGGCGGCGTCGACCTCTGGGCTGGAGGCGGCGGCCTCTGGGCTGGAGGCGGCATCGTCGGCCTCTGGGCTGGAGGCGGCGGCGTCGGCCTCCGGGCTGGAGGCGGCGGCATCGACCACTGGACTGGAGACGGCGTCGACCACGGGACTGGAGACGGCGTCAACCACGGGACTGGGGACGGCGTCGACCACTGGACTGGAGACGGCATCGACCATGCGACTGGAGATGGCGTCAACCACACGACTGGAGACGGTGTCGACCATTGGACAGGAGATGGCGGAGACGTTGGACTGGAGGGAACGCCAACCTCTGGACATGAGGGAGCGTTGACCTCTGGACACGAGGGAGCATCAACCTCTGGACACGAGGAAGAGTCGACCTCTGGACACGAGGGAGCGTAGACCTCTGGACACGAGGGAGCATAGACCTCTGGACACGAGGGAGGGTCAACCTCTGGACACGAAAGAGTGTCGACCTCTGGACACGAAAGAGCGTCGACCTCTGGACTGGAGAGAGCGTTGACCTCTGGACTGGAGAGAGCGTCGACCTCTGGACTGGAGAGAGCGTTGACCTACGGAGCGGATGAGGCGTCGACCCCCGGAGCGGATGAGGAGTCAACCTCCGGAGCGGATGAGGCATCGACCTCTGGAGCGGATGAGGCGTCGACCTCTAGAGCGGATGAGGCGTCGACTTCTGGAGCGGATGGGGCGACGACCTCTGGAGCGGATGATGCGTCGACTTCAGAACACGAGGAGGTGTCGACTTCAGAACACGAGGAGGCGTCGACTGCAGAACACGAGGAGGAGTCGACTTCAGAACACGAGGAGGCGTCGAACCTCAGAACACGAGGAGGCGTCGACCGCAGGACTGGAGGAGGCGTCGACCACAGGACTGGAGGAGGCGTCGACCACAGGACTGGAAGAGGCGTCGGCCACAGGACTGGAAGAGGCGTCGACCACCATCGACTTCTGGTCCGGGGGCGTCGATTCCGTGTCCGGAGGTGTCGACTTCTGATCCATCGACTTCTGGACCCTCGACTTCTGGACCCTCGACTTCTGGTCCGTGGGCGTCGACTTCTGGTCCGGGAGCGTCGACTTCTGGACCGTCAACTTCTGGTCCGGGGGCGTCAACTTCTGGTCCAGGAGCGTCAACTTCTGGTCCGGGAGCGTCGACTTCTGGTCCGGGAGTGTCGTCTTCTGGAACGTCGGCTTCTGGGCCGCCGGCTTCTGGAGTGGAGGAGGCGTTGCTGCAGATGGGACCGCTTGGACAGGCTGGACCGGATGCGGTGTGACCTCTGGGACCACCGCTGGAACTGGATGCATTTGAACTGGTGGTGCTGGAAACTGGGAGAGAAGGGAGGATAGAGTGTCCAGTTGGAGCTCCTGGAGACTGAGGCTCTGATGGAGTTGGGCCAGCTCAGCTCGGAGACCGACGAGCTCTGCTGGGTGAACTGCAGGCTTGCTCCTCTGGCACTGAGATGAGGGAGCTGCTGGCTGGACTGAAACCCTCTCCTGGTGATTCGGGGAGGACAGATTGTCCAGCTGGGACTCCTTGAGGCTAACGAGCTGACGGATCTGGCCAAGCTCCGCCTGGAGACATGCAAGCTCTGTCAGCTGGGCTGTGGGCGTGGTTCCTCTGCCTGCAGATGACGGAGGCACGGATTGGACCGGAGACGGGACTGTTGGTCTGACTGGGGGCGGGTCCAAGCAGGTGTGCTGAGCCGGTGCAGCGGCGAGCTCACGGCTCCGTCCTGGGACACAGGATTGCGGTGGAGCCCGGCATCCTTCCCCACACCGTGGGCCAGCTCCAGGGGAGTACACAGCCAGTCTGGTGCCCATGAAGCTGGAGCGATCCGGAAGCATCTCCCGGTCCAACCTCTCATCTGGCTCCGGAAGGGTGGAGAGGAACGCTGAGGCTGAGGGTCAGTGACGACGTCGGCGGCGAGGTGACGCCGGAGGAGGAGAAGAAGCCGGCTGGTGGTCTGAAGAGAGGAACTGGAGCAGGCACTCCCAGGGGAGAATCTCCCCGCTGGATCCTTTTACGGTTTGGATCATTCTCTCACGGTGTGTGGGCGAGGTGAGCAGAGGCAAGGATCCAAACGCGGGTGAAGAAGGCAGGTAGGCAGAAATGGTTTACAAAGGCTTTAATCTCGAACATACTAGACATGGAAACAATGATCCAACACGAGACAAAAAAACTGAAAGGGTTTAAATACAAGAGGGTTGGGAACTTGGGTGATTGGAAAACGAGCGGCAGGTGGGAGCAATTAACAGAGACACAAGACTAAACCATAAGGGGAGACAGGACAAGGTGTGACATGATCAAATGAGGCAACAATAAAATGTGTTTTTCACCTCTGGTTCCAGTTTCTGGATAAACGCTAAAGATTCAGGTGAGCTTAAATCACTGAAGGTATCCTGATAATCGACGAAGATTTCCAAAGTGACACTGGCTTTTCGAGTTGGCACTTCTTCAGTATCTGGGAGATAAAAGGGAAACCCATCATTTCAGTCCTACATCCATTTGCTCAGTCTCTTTTTCAAAACATGCATCATGGCAGCAAACATAATACTTTTGCTTCACTATATTTACGACAACCTCATCTATCTCTGTAATATTAAAAACTTTAAAAAAGTGTTGTTAAAACTGTATGTTTTTACATTATATGAAGTATATAACTTATAAATTGATTACAGCTGATTCTTAAAGTTTTTGTTACAACATAAAGTGTTTGCTAATTTTAAATAATGTGCAAAAATAAATGAAAAAAAGTAAAATCTCTTGTCTTTATGAATGTACATTTTGCATGTCCTGTGTAACATGTAACACACTTGTCATGAAAAGGTTGTTTGCTTTATAAATATTAATCCATTATGTTAAATTCAATTAAAGGCAAAGGATTAGGTAATGCCTTGATCAAGTAACTTGAGGAAGAATAAAAAGTGCATACATGTAAAATGGCAAACTCTTGGTCTCGGCATGAAAACATAAAAATTAAAGAGATAATTAAAAGGGGTTTGAATGAACACAACTGGCAGGAAGATCCTGTGTCTAATCAAAATAACTTTTCCCACACTAACGACTTCAACGACTCCTCAGGAGATAAGAAGAAGGGGCATTCATGATTAGTTTCAGCTCCTTAAGCAACAATAGACAACTATAGTCCCTCAGACCCTCCCATGATCCAGTCAGAATTGAGAAAGCTCATTGGATGAGAAGAAGCCTTCATTTCAACTACTTTGGATTACCATGAACTGGATGACTGAGAATCTTCACCAGCATATAGAGATGCTTCTGAAATTTATTACGGTATTAGAATTTCTTTCAAAACAGTGTCTCATAGTTTAATTATTAAATAGTATAAGGATAAAAACATTATTTTGTTGTTTTTGAATTTAATTAAAAATATTTTTAAAGTTATGATTTTAATCTATTAAAATACTTTAAAAGCATGATAACAAGTTGAGACCTTATTCATAACTCATTTGAATGCATTCAAAACTTTATTAAACTTAAAAGCATCTTACCAATTTGTGCAGATGCATCATTTTGTCCAAAAGAGCAGGAATCTCCAAAGACAAATTCTGGACAACGACACTGACAGTTTCCTAGAGTCACATTGAAGAAACAGGTGCCTCCATTGCACTGACAGTTCCTACACTGTGATGTAGTAGGAAGTGTTGTCCAAGCTACCGTGGCATTTGAGGAGGTTCCAGCTGCAGATGTTGACTGACTGACTGTTGCTGCATTTGTAGTGACGATTTTTGAGGAGAAAGATGCCTCAGATGTTGATGCCATTGATGATGTTGTCGGACTAAGGCTTGATTTGTTAGTCGTTTTGATTTCAGTAGTAAAAGCAAGAGTGGAATGTGTCAAATTGTTTTTGTGGGAGGAAGCTGTGGGAGGTGTGGTTGTAAACTGGTGAGAAGATGAAGTTACAGAGGATGTTAGTCGATTGCTTGCTTTAGTGGAGGTGGAAGATGCGGACATTGTTGTTGTGGGCTTGTAAGTTGTAGTCAGCGATGTGGAGAACATGGTCTGAGGTGTAAGTGTTGTCAATGTTGTTTCTGTAGGTTCTACTGGCGTGGTTCGCGGTGGCTCTCTGGTTGTCAGTAGTGATGTTTGGACCACATCATAAGTTGTTAATTCTTTCAGTTGATCTGATGTGGGTGTAGGAACATTTTGGGATGTCACACTTGACCTTGACACTGTTACATTTGTGACTGAATGAGTGGCTGACTCTGTCCGTTGTGAGGATGGTGTTGCTTTAGTAGACTCTGATTCTGTTCTTGATGTAGTTGGAGACAATTTCGTACTTGACCATGGATGAGATATTGTTTGTAAACTGCTTGTTTTAAAATTCTTATCAGTTGGAGTTGGTGTAGTTTCAAATGGAGCTAAATTGGTTGATGCTGTCATTTTGTCTTGTGTTTTAGATGTTGTTGAGTCTATAGATGTAATTTTTAAAGTTGATTTTACTGTCATAACAGATGCAGCCTGTGTGACTGTGGTAGGTGACAGATTAGGTGATGTTTCTTGTCTAACTGATGACTGGGCAGTTGTTTTAGTACTTGTTAGACCTGTACCTGTGCTGTAAGAAGAAGATTTTACAGTAAACTGATATGTCCTTGGAGGAATTTCAGAGGATGATGTGATGTACATGATTGTGTTTGGGGAGGAAAAGGTTGATTTGGAATACTCCACTATTGCTGATTTGGTAAGTCCATTAGTGGATATCCTTGATGTTGACTCTATTGGTTTTGATGTTCCTGTGGGTGTTAAAGCAGGAACAGGTGAAGACTGTGATTGTGTTGGTGAATTCTTGGTTGAAGAATTTTCCTGACTTGCTGATGGAGGTAGACTTGTAGCTCCACTGCTTACACTTGTTTCAACCATGTGGACTGTAGACGGAGTAAAGTGTGTTGTACCAGTAGTTGTTTTGGATTCATCCATGTTGGTGGATGGTAGTCTGTTTATTGTTAGAGGTGTTGATGATTCTGTAGAATGCATTGTTTCAGTGGCTGTTACATTTGTAACAGGTGTAGACTGTCTCACAATAGATGAAAGGGTTTGTACAGATATTTCCTGACTAGCTGGTGGTTGTGACTTTGTCGTAGTTCTACTTACACTTGTCTCTGTTCTGTGGGGTGAGGAGGTTTCATGAAACTGAGTAGTTGGTAGAGGAGGTTCAGTGGGTTTAGTGTTGACATCCACTGTAATTGTTGATGAAAAGGTAACTTTAGCATAGTCCATGGTGGTTGGTGTAGATTGTGTGTCGGTTGGTCGTGATTTGGTTAACGATGGTTCCTTACTTGCTGATGAAAGTAGACTTGTATCTGCACTGGTTGGACTTGTTCCAACATTGTTTGTTGTAGACACTGGAGTAAACTGTGTTGTACCTGATGAGCTGAATGTTTTGGATTGATGAAACTTGGTTGATGTCATTTTGTTGGTGGTTGGCAAGGTTGTGGATTCAATGATATTTACCTGTCCAGTAGATTTCCGTATTGTAACATCTGTTGATGGTGGTGTGGCAGATGTTTTGGTTGGTGCAGATGTTTCTTGAGTAATTGAGGGTTTTGAATCAGTTATTGTTGTGTTTAAACGTGTATCTGTACTGTCAGTTAAAGGTGTTTGAGTAAAGTGAGTGGTCTTTGACAAAAACGCAGGTGTTGTTTGATAAACATCTGTATTTGTAGAAGAAAAAGTCTCTTTAGAATGATTAATGGAGGTTGATTTGGTCAACACATTTGTGGTTGGCATTGAAGTAGATTCTGATGATTGTGTATTTCCTGTAGGTGCAAATGTTGGAACAGATGGTATGAATGTCTCTGTGGGGAAAGCCTTGGTAAAAGATGTTTCCTTACTTGTAGATGGTGGTAGACTTGTGACTGCACTGGTTAGACTTGTATCAGTGTTGTCTACAGTGGAATACATTGATTCAGTGTATTTCATTGTCATGACATTTGTAGACTGTGTCTCAGTGGTAGAGGACACAGTTAATGCAGATGTTTCTTGAGTAACTGATGACTGTGCAGTTGTTGTAGTTCTGGTTGTTCCTGAATCAGTGGTTCTTGGAGGAATTTCAGAGGATGAAGTGATGTACATGATTGTGTTTGGGGAGGAAAAGGTTGATTTGGAATGTTCCACTATAGCTGATTTAGTAAATTCATTAGTGGATATCCTTGATGTTGACTCTGTTGGTTTTGATGTTCCTGTGGGTGTTAAAGCAGGAACAGGTGAAGACTGTGATTGTGTTGGTGAATTCTTGGTTGAAGAATTTTCCTGACTTGCTGATGGAGGTAGACTTGTAGCTCCACTGCTTACACTTGTTTCAACCATGTGGACTGTAGGCGGAGTAAAGTGTGTCGTACCAGTAGTTGTTTTGGATTCATCCATGTTGGTTGATGGTAGTCTGTTTATTGTTAGAGGTGTTGATGATTCTGTAGAATGCATTGTTTCAGTGGCTTTTACATTTGTAACAGGTGTAGACTGTCTCACAGTAGATGAAAGGGTTTGTGCAGATATTTCCTGACTAGCTGGTGGTTGTGACTTTGTTGTAGTTCTACTGACACTTGTCTCTGTTCTGTGGGGTGAGGAGGTTTCATGAAACTGAGTAGTTGGTAGAGGAGGTTCAGTTGGTTTAGTGTTGACATCCACTGTAATCGTTGATGAAAAGGTAACTTTAGCATAGTCAATGGTGGTTGGTGTAGATTGTGTGTCGGTTGGTGGTGATTTGGTTAACGATGGTTCCTTACTTGCTGATGAAAGTAGACTTGTATCTGCACTGGTTGGACTTGTTCCAGCATTGTATGTTATAGACACTGGAGTAAACTGTGGTGTACCTGATGAGCTGAATGTTTTGGATTGATGAAACTTGGTTGATGTCATTGTGTTGGTGGTTGGCAAGGTTGTGGATTCCATAATATTTACCTGTCCAGTAGATTTCCGTATTGTAACATCTGTTGATGGTGGTGTGGCAGATGTTTTGGTTGGTGCAGATGTTTCTTGAGTAATTGAGGGTTTTGAATCAGTTATTGTTGTGTTTAAACGTGTATCTGTAATGTCAGTGTAAGGTGTTTGAGTAAAGTGAGTGGTCTTCGACAAAAATGCAGGTGTTGTTTGATAAACATCTGTATTTGTGGAAGAAAAAGTCTCTTTAGAATGATTAATGGAGGTTGATTTGGTCAACACATTTGTGGTTGGCATTGAAGTAGATTCTGATGATTGTGTATTTCCTGTAGGTGCAAATGTTGGAACAGAGGGTATGAATGTTTCTGTGGGGAAAGCCTTGGTAAAAGATGTTTCCTCACTTGTAGATGGTGGTAGACTTGTGACTGCACTGGTTAGACTTGTATCAGTGTTGTCTACAGTGGAATACATTGATTCAGTGTATTTCATTGTCATGACATTTGTAGACTGTGTCTCAGTGGTAGAGGACACAGTTAATGCAGATGTTTCTTGAGTAACTGATGACTGTGCAGTTGTTGTAGTTCTGGTTGTTCCTGAATCAGTGGTTCTTGGAGGAATTTCAGAGGATGAAGTGATGTACATGATTGTGTTTGGGGAGGAAAAGGTTGATTTGGAATGTTCCACTATAGCTGATTTAGTAAATTCATTAGTGGATATCACTGATGTTGACTCTGTTGGTTTTGTTGTTCCTGTGGGTGTTAAAGCAGGAACAGGTGAAGACTGTGATTGTGTTGGTGAATTCTTGGTTGAAGAATTTTCCTGACTTGCTGATGGAGGTAGAACTGTAGCTCCACTGCTTACACTTGTTTCAACCATGTGGACTGTAGACGGAGTAAAGTGTGTCGTACCAGTAGTTGTTTTGGATTCATCCATAATGGTGGATGGTAGTCTGTTTATTGTTAGAGGTGTTGATGATTCTGTAGAATGCATTGTTTCAGTGGCTTTTACATTTGTAACAGGTGTAGACTGTCTCACAGTAGATGAAAGGGTTTGTGCAGATATTTCCTGACTAGCTGGTGGTTGTGAATTTGTTGTAGTTCTACTGACACTTGTCTCTGTTTTGTGGGGTGAGGAGGTTTCATGAAACTGAGTAGTTGGTAGAGGAGGTTCAGTGGGTTTAGTGTTGACATCCACTGTAATTGTTGATGAAATGGTAACTTTAGCATAGTCCATTGTGGTTGGTGTAGATTTTGTGTCGGTTGGTGGTGATTTGGTTAATGATGGTTCCTTACTTGCTGATGAAAGTAGACTTGTATCTGCACTGGTTGGACTTGTTCCAGCATTGTATGTTATAGACACTGGAGTAAACTGTGGTGTACCTGATGAGCTGAATGTTTTGGATTGATGAAACTTGGTTGATGTCATTGTGTTGGTGGTTGGCAAGGTTGTGGATTCCATAATATTTACCTGTCCAGTAGATTTCCGTATTGTAACATCTGTTGATGGTGGTGTGGCAGATGTTTTGGTTGGTGCAGATGTTTCTTGAGTAATTGAGGGTTTTGAATCAGTTATTGTTGTGTTTAAACGTGTATCTGTAATGTCAGTGTAAGGTGTTTGAGTAAAGTGAGTGGTCTTCGACAAAAATGCAGGTGTTGTTTGATAAACATCTGTATTTGTGGAAGAAAAAGTCTCTTTAGAATGATTAATGGAGGTTGATTTGGTCAACACATTTGTGGTTGGCATTGAAGTAGATTCTGATGATTGTGTATTTCCTGTAGGTGCAAATGTTGGAACAGAGGGTATGAATGTTTCTGTGGGGAAAGCCTTGGTAAAAGATGTTTCCTCACTTGTAGATGGTGGTAGACTTGTGACTGCACTGGTTAGACTTGTATCAGTGTTGTCTACAGTGGAATACATTGATTCAGTGTATTTCATTGTCATGACATTTGTAGACTGTGTCTCAGTGGTAGAGGACACAGTTAATGCAGATGTTTCTTGAGTAACTGATGACTGTGCAGTTGTTGTAGTTCTGGTTGTTCCTGAATCAGTGGTTCTTGGAGGAATTTCAGAGGATGAAGTGATGTACATGATTGTGTTTGGGGAGGAAAAGGTTGATTTGGAATGTTCCACTATAGCTGATTTAGTAAATTCATTAGTGGATATCACTGATGTTGACTCTGTTGGTTTTGTTGTTCCTGTGGGTGTTAAAGCAGGAACAGGTGAAGACTGTGATTGTGTTGGTGAATTCTTGGTTGAAGAATTTTCCTGACTTGCTGATGGAGGTAGAACTGTAGCTCCACTGCTTACACTTGTTTCAACCATGTGGACTGTAGACGGAGTAAAGTGTGTCGTACCAGTAGTTGTTTTGGATTCATCCATAATGGTGGATGGTAGTCTGTTTATTGTTAGAGGTGTTGATGATTCTGTAGAATGCATTGTTTCAGTGGCTTTTACATTTGTAACAGGTGTAGACTGTCTCACAGTAGATGAAGGGGTTTGTGCAGATATTTCCTGACTAGCTGGTGGTTGTGACTTTGTTGTAGTTCTACTGACACTTGTCTCTGTTCTGTGGGGTGAGGAGGTTTCATGAAACTGAGTAGTTGGTAGAGGAGTTTCAGTGGGTTTAGTATTGACATCCACTGTAATTGTTGATGAAAAGGTAACTTTAGCATAGTCAATGGTGGTTGGTGTAGATTGTGTGTCGGTTGGTGGTGATTTGGTTAACGATGGTTCCTTACTTGCTGATGAAAGTAGACTTGTATCTGCACTGGTTGGACTTGTTCCAGCATTGTATGTTGTAGACACTGGAGTAAACTGTGTTGTACCTGATGAGCTGAATGTTTTGAATTGATGAAACTTGGTTGATGTCATTGTGTTGGTGGTTGGCAAGCTTGTGGATTCCATAATATTTACCTGTCCAGTAGATTTCCGTATTGTAACATCTGTTGATGGTGGTGTGGCAGATGTTTTGGTTGGTGCAGATGTTTCTTGAGTAATTGAGGGTTTTGAATCAGTTATTGTTGTGTTTAAACGTGTATCTGTATTGTCAGTTAAAGGTGTTTGAGTAAAGTGAGTGGTCTTTGACAAAAACGCAGGTGTTTTTTGATAAACATCTGTATTTGTGGAAGAAAAAGTCTCTTTAGAATGATTAATGGAGGCTGATTTGGTCAACACATTTGTGGTTGGCATTGAAGTAGATTCTGATGATTGTGTATTTCCTGTAGGTGCAAATGTTGGAACGGATGGTATGAATGTCTCTGTGGGGAAAGCCTTGGTAAAAGATGTTTCCTCACTTGTAGATGGTGGTAGACTTGTGACTGCACTGGTTAGACTTGTATCAGTGTTGTCTACAGTGGAATACATTGATCCAGTGTATTTCATTGTCATGACATTTGTAGACTGTGTCTCAGTGGTAGAGGACACAGTTAATGCAGATGTTTCTTGAGTAACTGATGACTGTGCAGTTGTTGTAGTTCTGGTTGTTCCTGAATCAGTGGTTCTTGGAGGAATTTCAGAGGATGAAGTGATGTACATGATTGTGTTTGGGGAGGAAAAGGTTGATTTGGAATGTTCCACTATAGCTGATTTAGTAAATTCATTAGTGGATATCACTGATGTTGACTCTGTTGGTTTTGATGTTCCTGTGGGTGTTAAAGCAGGAACAGGTGAAGACTGTGATTGTGTTGGTGAATTCTTGGTTGAAGAATTTTCCTGACTTGCTGATGGAGGTAGACTTGTAGCTCCACTGCTTACACTTGTTTCAACCATGTGGACTGTAGACGGAGTAAAGTGTGTCGTACCAGTAGTTGTTTTGGATTCATCCATGTTGGTGGATGGTAGTCTGTTTACTGTTAGAGGTGTTGATGATTCTGTAGAATGCATTGTTTCAGTGGCTTTTACATTTGTAACAGGTGTAGACTGTCTCACAGTAGATGAAAGGGTTTGTGCAGATATTTCCTGACTAGCTGGTGGTTGTGACTTTGTTGTAGTTCTACTGACACTTGTCTCTGTTCTGTGGGGTGAGGAGGTTTCATGAAACTGAGTAGTTGGTAGAGGAGGTTCAGTGGGTTTAGTGTTGACATCCACTGTAATTGTTGATGAAAAGGTAACTTTAGCATAGTCCATTGTGGTTGGTGTAGATTTTGTGTCGGTTGGTGGTGATTTGGTTAATGATGGTTCCTTACTTGCTGATGAAAGTAGACTTGTATCTGCACTGGTTGGACTTGTTCCAGCATTGTATGTTATAGACACTGGAGTAAACTGTGTTGTACCTGATGAGTTGAATGTTTTGGATTGATGAAACTTGGTTGATGTCATTGTGTTGGTGGTTGGCAAGGTTGTGGATTCCATAATATTTACCTGTCCAGTAGATTTCCGTATTGTAACATCTGTTGATGGTGGTGTGGCAGATGCTTTGGTTGGTGCAGATGTTTCTTTAGTAATTGAGGATTTTGAATCAGTTATTGTTGTGTTTAAACGTGTATCTGTACTGTCATTTAAAGGTGTTTGAGATAAGTGAGTGGTCTTTGACAAAAACGCAGGTGTTGTTTGATAAACATCTGTATTTTTGGAAGAAAAAGTCTCTTTAGAATGAGTAATGGAGGTTGATTTGGTCAACACATTTGTGGTTGGCATTGAAGTAGATTCTGATGATTGTGTATTTCCTGTAGGTGCAAATGTTGGAACAGATGGTATGAATGTCTGTGTGGGGAAAGCCTTGGTAAAAGATGTTGCCTCACTTGTAGATGGTGGTAGACTTGTGACTGCACTGGTTAGACTTGTATCAGTGTTGTCTACAGTGGAATACATTGATTCAGTGTATTTCATTGTCATGACATTTGTAGACTGTGTCTCAGTGGTAGAGGACACAGTTAATGCAGATGTTTCTTGAGTAACTGATGACTGTGCAGTTGTTGTAGTTCTGGTTGTTCCTGAATCAGTGGTTCTTGGAGGAATTTCAGAGGATGAAGTGATGTACATGATTGTGTTTGGGGAGGAAAAGGTTGATTTGGAATGTTCCACTATAGCTGATTTAATAAATTCATTAGTGGATATCACTGATGTTGACTCTGTTGGTTTTGATGTTCCTGTGGGTGTTAAAGCAGGAACAGGTGAAGACTGTGATTGTGTTGGTGAATTCTTGGTTGAAGAATTTTCCTGACTTGCTGATGGAGGTAGACTTGTAGCTCCACTGCTTACACTTGTTTCAACCATGTGGACTGTAGACGGAGTAAAGTGTGTCGTACCAGTAGTTGTTTTGGATTCATCCATGTTGGTGGATGGTAGTCTGTTTATTGTTAGAGGTGTTGATGATTCTGTAGAATGCATTGTTTCAGTTACTTTTACATTTGTAACAGGTGTAGACTGTCTCACAGTAGATGAAAGGGTTTGTGCAGATATTTCCTGACTAGCTGGTGGTTGTGACTTTGTTGTAGTTCTACTGACACTTGTTTCTGTTCTGTGGGGTGAGGAGGTTTCATGAAACTGAGTAGTTGGTAGAGGAGGTTCAGTGGGTTTAGTGTTGACATCCACTGTAATTGTTGATGAAAAGGTAACTTTAGCATAGTCAATGGTGGTTGGTGTAGATTGTGTGTCGGTTGGTGGTGATTTGGTTAACGATGGTTCCTTACTTGCTGATGAAAGTAGACTTGTATCTGCACTGGTTGGACTTGTTCCAGCATTGTATGTTGTAGACACTGGAGTAAACTGTGTTGTACCTGATGAGCTGAATGTTTTGAATTGATGAAACTTGGTTGATGTCATTGTGTTGGTGGTTGGCAAGGTTGTGGATTCCATAATATTTACCTGTCCAGTAGATTTCTGTATTGTAACATCTGTTGATGGTGGTGTGGCAGATGTTTTGGTTGGTGCAGATGTTTCTTGAGTAATTGAGGGTTTTGAATCAGTTATTGTTGTGTTTAAACGTGTATCTGTATTGTCAGTTAAAGGTGTTTGAGTAAAGTGAGTGGTCTTTGACAAAAACACAGGTGTTGTTTGATAAACATCTGTATTTGTGGAGGAAAAAGTCTCTTTAGAATGATTAATGGAGGTTGATTTGGTCAACACATTTGTGGTTGGCATTGAAGTAGATTCTGATGATTGTGTATTTCCTGTAGGTGCAAATGTTGGAACAGATGGTATGAATGTCTGTGTGGGGAAAGCCTTGGTAAAAGATGTTGCCTCACTTGTAGATGGTGGTAGACTTGTGACTGCACTGGTTAGACTTGTATCAGTGTTGTCTACAGTGGAATACATTGATCCAGTGTATTTCATTGTCATGGCATTTGTAGACTGTGTCTCAGTGGTAGAGGACACAGTTAATGCAGATGTTTCTTGAGTAACTGATGACTGTGCAGTTGTTGTAGTTCTGGTTGTTCCTGAATCAGTGGTTCTTGGAGGAATTTCAGAGGATGAAGTGATGTACATGATTGTGTTTGGGGAGGAAAAGGTTGATTTGGAATGTTCCACTATAGCTGATTTAGTAAATTCATTAGTGGATATCACTGATGTTGACTCTGTTGGTTTTGATGTTCCTGTGGGTGTTAAAGCAGGAACAGGTGAAGACTGTGATTGTGTTGGGGAATTCTTGGTTGAAGAATTTTCCTGACTTGCTGATGGAGGTAGACTTGTAGCTCCACTGCTTACACTTGTTTCAACCATGTGGACTGTAGGCGGAGTAAAGTGTGTCGTACCAGTAGTTGTTTTGGATTCATCCATGTTGGTGGATGGTAGTCTGTTTATTGTTAGAGGTGTTGATGATTCTGTAGAATGCATTGTTTCAGTGGCTTTTACATTTGTAACAGGTGTAGACTGTCTCACAGTAGATGAAGGGGTTTGTGCAGATATTTCCTGACTAGCTGGTGGTTGTGACTTTGTTGTAGTTCTACTGACACTTGTCTCTGTTCTGTGGGGTGAGGAGGTTTCATGAAACTGAGTAGTTGGTAGAGGAGTTTCAGTGGGTTTAGTATTGACATCCACTGTAATCGTTGATGAAAAGGTAACTTTAGCATAGTCAATGGTGGTTGGTGTAGATTGTGTGTCGGTTGGTGGTGATTTGGTTAACGATGGTTCCTTACTTGCTGATGAAAGTAGACTTGTATCTGCACTGGTTGGACTTGTTCCAGCATTGTATGTTGTAGACACTGGAGTAAACTGTGTTGTACCTGATGAGCTGAATGTTTTGAATTGATGAAACTTGGTTGATGTCATTGTGTTGGTGGTTGGCAAGCTTGTGGATTCCATAATATTTACCTGTCCAGTAGATTTCCGTATTGTAACATCTGTTGATGGTGGTGTGGCAGATGTTTTGGTTGGTGCAGATGTTTCTTGAGTAATTGAGGGTTTTGAATCAGTTATTGTTGTGTTTAAACGTGTATCTGTATTGTCAGTTAAAGGTGTTTGAGTAAAGTGAGTGGTCTTTGACAAAAACGCAGGTGTTGTTTGATAAACATCTGTATTTGTGGAAGAAAAAGTTTCTTTAGAATGATTAATGGAGGTTGATTTGGTCAACACATTTGTGGTTGGCATTGAAGTAGATTCTGATGATTGTGTATTTCCTGTAGGTGCAAATGTTGGAACAGATGGTATGAATGTCTGTGTGGGGAAAGCCTTGGTAAAAGATGTTGCCTCACTTGTAGATGGTGGTAGACTTGTGACTGCACTGGTTAGACTTGTATCAGTGTTGTCTACAGTGGAATACATTGATCCAGTGTATTTCATTGTCATGACATTTGTAGACTGTGTCTCAGTGGTAGAGGACACAGTTAATGCAGATTTTTCCTGAGTAACTGATGACTGTGCAGTTGTTGTAGTTCTGGTTGTTCCTGAATCAGTGGTTCTTGGAGAAATTTCAGAGGATGAAGTGATGTACATGATTGTGTTTGGGGAGGAAAAGGTTGATTTGGAATGTTCCACTATAGCTGATTTAGTAAATTCATTAGTGGATATCACTGATGTTGACTCTGTTGGTTTTGATGTTCCTGTGGGTGTTAAAGCAGGAACAGGTGAAGACTGTGATTGTGTTGGTGAATTCTTGGTTGAAGAATTTTCCTGACTTGCTGATGGAGGTAGACTTGTAGCTCCACTGCTTACACTTGTTTCAACCATGTGGACTGTAGGCGGAGTAAAGTGTGTCGTACCAGTAGTTGTTTTGGATTCATCCATGTTGGTGGATGGTAGTCTGTTTATTGTTAGAGGTGTTGATGATTCTGTAGAATGCATTGTTTCAGTGGCTTTTACATTTGTAACAGGTGTAGACTGTCTCACAGTAGATGAAAGGGTTTGTGCAGATATTTCCTGACTAGCTGGTGGCTGTGACTTTGTCGTAGTTCTACTGACACTTGTCTCTGTTCTGTGGGAGGATGATTCATCAAACTGAGGAGTTTTTGCAGGAATTTCAGTGGGTGTAGTCTTTATTTCATTTGTAATAGTTTGGGGAATGGTAGGTTTAGCATAGTCAATGGTGGTTTGTGTAGACCGTGTTTCTGTTGGTTGCAAAGTGGTTGATGATGCTTCTTTACTTGCTGATGAAGTTGGATTTGTATCTCCACTGGCTGCACTGTTTCCAACAGTGGATTTTGTAGAAATAGGAAAATCTGTTGTACCTGATGAGCTGACTGTTTTGTATTGATGAATGCCTGCTGACGGTGTCCTTTCCTTGGTTGTTGGCAAGGATGTTGTTTCTATAGTATATGTCTGTTCAGTAGATTTTAATACTGTAACATCATTTAATGGTTGTATTGTGGTAGTTTTTGTGGTTGGTGCAGATGTGTCTTGAGTAATGGATGGCCCATTTGTTACTTTTGTATTGACACGTGTATCTGTACTTTCAGTTAAAGATGACTGAGTAAATTGAGTGGTGTTCGGAAAAAAGTTAGAAGGTGATGTCTGGTAAACTGCATTAGTTTGATTCATGGTCGTCTGTGTTGATTTCGTTGCATCTCCTGTGAGCGTAAAGATTGGAACAGATGTTGAAGGTGTTGAAGCGATGATTTTCTTTTTTCCTGTTGTAATTTGAGCTGAAGGACTTTGCAAAGACTGTTGAGTATTTGTTGGTTTGATATTAGAAATTCCTGTTGTGGCAGTTGATGAGATTGCATCTTGAAGTTCAGTTTTTTCTGTCAACTTTTCCATATTTTGAGATGTAGACTGTGACTTTGCAGATGAAGAGATGACTATTGAAGGTATTTTATGGTTATCTGTTGTTGTGTCAGTACTGTACACTTTGCTTGTTTTTGAATACTCTGTGTTTGAATGAGGAATTTCAGAGTTAGTACTGTGGGAATCCTCTGTAGAGAAGGTTGTTCTAGAAAAGTTCATTTGGTTGGATGTTGTTGGAAGTTTTGTGAAGGATGATGAGATGGTCTCATTAGGAATCTGAGTTTTTGTCGGTTTTCTTGTCATAAATGATGTAGACTGAGTCTCTGTAGTTAAAGACGTTATTGTTGTCTCATCTCTAGTAAGAGGGTCATTAGTGATTGTAGTACTTGTATCTTCTCTGTCAGTATTTAGTCCCAAAGAAGCCTGAACAGATTTGGTTGAAGTAGAGGTATCTTCCATGTCTGAAGTAAAACTGTTTGCTGTAGTAACACCATTGTAGGTACTATGAGGAAGTTCTTTGGTGTTCGTGGATGACTGGAGGTTTATTTTTTGATTAGTTCCTTTGAATGTACCCATCATTAAATATGTTGACTGTAGATCTGTGGTTGAAGACCTCCTTGCATTTGATGCATCCTTGGTAGTTGGATGTTGAGTTGTTACTGATGATGAACTGGAAGAAAATTCTGTATTTGTGGGGAAAAATAGTTAGGATCTGATCAATGTGTGAATTAGCAGTTGGTCTGTTTGTGTGTGATGATGAGGTTAATTATTTTGATTCCATGTTGGCTCATTTTGTTGAGATGAGTCATTCAATATTTGCTCAACTTCTAAAAGCGCAGATGTGTTATGTCTTCTTGTGTTTATGTTTGAGATTCATGTATTTATGCTCACCTGTTATCTGGGGATTCTCTGTCATTTCATCTATTTGATCTTGTTTCGCATTTTGATTTTCTGTAAAAACATAAATGAATTATCAAATAAATTCATGATTCAAGAGACCCTGATTTAAAAAAACAGGTAGTTTAAAATATCAAAAACCATCTCTTGATCTTCATCAAGATGGAAATAAATTGGAGATGGTGGCTTGAATGAATGCCAAACATCAGCCACAAGGAAGGAAGCCAGAACACCATAAGAACAATATTTTACAGAATGCACAGCACTTCATTTTTTACACCTTTTGTTAAGTTACAGCCTGATTCCAAAAAGGATTGTGGTACTATATTTTACCTCAAAACACTACACACAACGGGAAGAACACTTTAGAGATGTTTGCAAATTTATGTAGAAAAACAGAAACATTACTTGTGCTTTGTTATATTTTATATGTATAATTTATAAGAAATCATTCCATCAACCAGGAAATGAACCAACGTGCTATATGAGCATAAAAAAGAAATGACCCCTGCAAGGGCCAACAAAAATGTACATAAAACAAATAAAAGCAAAAGATGCAAGTAAGACAACAGAATAAATCAGGATAAAAGCTCAGTTCTTGAAAAATATGGCTAAAACATGTGCTGAGGGAACGCCACAGAATAAAAATGAGTCTTCATCCAGTAGTGAAGGTGGTTGTCTGACCTCAAGGGGAGGTCATTCCACAGCTTAGGGGCCAAGATCGAGAAAGCCCTTCCTCCTCTAGCTGAGCATTTTACCCGTGGAGCAACTAGTAAGTCTTGCTGTGATGATCTGAGTGAGTAACTCAGCCAGACAGCTTGGAGCACAGCCCTGCAGAGACTTAAAAATAAAGACAAGCATCTTGAACCTGATTCTAAAACAAAATGGAAACCAATGTAGATGAGCTAAGACAGGTGTGATATGTTCCTGCATTCTGGTGGTTGTCAGGAATCTAGCTCCAGCATTTTGTGCAAGCTAGAGCTGAGCTGGTGCAGCCTTACTAACTCCTAAGTAGTCTAGGTGTGAAATAATAAAATAATGGACAACTGTTGGGTAATTTCACCAATCCAAGATTACCTTAGGGAAAGTCCAAAGCACAGGGGGTTATAGTAATCAATCGATCAACACCAATACCAATCACAAACAATCAATTTAGACTTTGCAAAGTGGAGAGGAAAGAAAACACACCAGTCAAGGTTGCAGTTCACTCTCATCAGGCTGACGCCTTCCGACAGCATTTATTAAGCACACGCAAAGATTAACGCACACACATTTTAACATTCCTTAGACTCTCAGGTGGAAAGCTGTAAAAGGGAGTCTAAACTTTCTCCAGGTACACCCTAAATCAAACAAAGCTCTTGCTAGACTTTCTCAAGGGAGTGTTACTGATAAAGGTCAGTGCCAAGGCAAGGTCATCCTCCTAAAACCTACTCCTCCCTGTAAGACCTACTGGAGCCTGGTATCTATCAACAGAATGAAAAGGATGAAGCTACGTTTAATAAGACACCAGATGTTTAACAGTAAAGACATCAATATTAGTTCAATAATGTTAATATCAGTTTTTATCTAACAACAACAGTCACAAAGTGTGCACGCAACACTAGCGATGTGATCCTGTATAGGCGACGAAGATGGAAAAAGCAAGGGTGCATCAACACATTTATTTGAAGCTCTTTTAGTGATGCATCCAACCTCACACCCAGATCAGTGACAAGATCCTTCTTAAGAGAAGAGAGTTCAGTTTCCTGGTTTGATGCATGATTAATACTCGGGCTAAAAGCGATGATCTCCGTTTTTCCTTCATTGAAGCTTAAAAAGCTGGAAGCCATCCAGGCTCTAACCTCCTCAATCCAGGATTGGCATGACTAGTCTGCAGTACCCTGTCTGAAGGGAAAATAGATCTGGTAATCATCACCAGAATGATGAAAATTGACCCTGTGCTTCTGAAAAAGTTTACCTGTTGGGTCACATGACTGACACAACATAAAGTGTTATATGTCATGTTTTATGTTAAAAGTGTGTTTAAAAATATCATTAATCAGAAAACTGGTGATGGAAAAGGGATGTTTGAATAAACTATTTACCCTAATAAATAATAATATGTCAAAAAATGGAAAATCCATAAAGAATGGTTTAAATTTTGGTCATTTCAAAATTCTAAAAATTTTAATCTCACTCACAGGTTAGTGTCCTAGTATTTTAATCTTCTTGAATGTGAAAAAAAAAATCGAAAACATGAATCAAGGTCACATTGCGTGAAAATGACTTCCTTCATTTTTGAATAAGGGGCATTTCCGTCTTTCTCTGTTCCCTATCTAATCTTTGTGTAATGTTTTATTTTTTAACATTTACTTTCTTCAAATATTAACATAACTTGATCAACCATTTTACTCTGTATCGGTGATATTTCTTCCCGGTTAGAAACGTTGGTGTCATGGATTTTGCATTGCATGCATGAAGAGATTTAGTACTGAGGTCATTTCCATTTAACATGAAAGTTAACAACAGCTTGGATTATACTTTCAAAATGTTTTCTTTTAAAAATACCTTTACTGTATAAAATGAGATTGAACTGAATGATAAAAAGTTTATTATTTTAATACTAAAACTGAAAACATTCCTGGTGGGTCAAACTGAAAATGAGAATTCACACTTTAACACTGAGGAATACAACTATGCATCATCAGGTGAAGTGTAATCATTCCTCAGCAGATTCAGACGATTTTACAATGACTATCATTAAAAAAATCACAAACTTACCTTCATTTTGTGCAAATGTTGTAGGGAATGCACTCAGCATGCTGACACATACAGTAAAGATAAGGAACGTGGTGGAAAACGTCCTCCAGTTACAGGATTGCTGGTAAATCCACATTATGTCTGCTCACAGATTCTGCGATGAAGTGGTTGAAGAGTGATAAAAATTTTCACCTGTAGAAAAACTAAATCAGTTGAGTTTGAGATTTGTGGCGATCTTCTAGTTCAGTTAGGATCTGACTGGCAGTACAAGTGTGAGAGCTCCTCTGTGTCATCACGGCTGTTACAGAGGTTGTTACTGACGTGCTGAATACACCCTGAGCAAATTTCCACAGAGTTGCCGCTACTGACGCTGATGCTGAAGAGAACAGGTGGATGAGGGGAGGTGTGAGAGGGTGTGACTGTATTTTTACTGTACATCAGTCACTCAAATAGTTCACACTTGGGTTGCTTATGAGTTCCAGTTTCTTTAAAAAGAAACATGAAAATAAAATCAAGATAAGACATCTTGATGTTCAATGGCGTTGATGTTCTTGTGAATATTCCTCAAAACGAGGGAATGTTCACTTTTTAAAATTTTTAAACAAGTTTAGGATATTTCTTTGTAATTTGGAAACAGACCAGGGATTGTACACACTTTTATGTGTCTTTTGTCACTTTACGATATGATTCTCACTGACTGTCCCAGTTTAGAAAATAATAAGTGTTGTGAAGGAACAAACACTGGCCGGCCAAAAGAAAAGTTCACACTAACATTTTGTTGGACCACCTTTAGATTTGATTACAGCACACATTCGCTGTGGCATTGTTTCGATAAGCTTCTCGTAAAAGAGTTAATTTACATCTTAAGGACCCGTGAGACGTAAGATTCCATGGTAAATATGAAATTAATCTCACGGACCGTTGGATTATTTTAACCAGAAGATTGGACCTTTTTATTGCAGGGATTATGGAACGCTTGTATTAAGTGAGAGACAGCAGAAAAGAGAGTCCTTTAAAACGTTTAAGAAGATTTATTTCTAACAATTTAAACAGTTTTAAACAAGACTAACTCTAACTCTAAGTGATGAATGGGTCTGGTGTAATGAGACGTGAGATGGATGGTGTATGTGTGAGTGATGTTATAATCAGAACTCTCGTATCCGGAGAAGCAAGTCTGAATGATGTTGTGATGTTTTGCTTTTAGCTATGATCAGAGTTTGATCGGAGTTTCATAAACACATGAGATGCCATTTTGTCGCTCTACACATACCCTTCAGGATGAGACCTCCGTACAGATCCTGAATGCCAGGTCCTTGGACCCCCCTTTTGGTACAGGAGCCAGTGAAACAGTGTCAGCAGTACGACAGACTAGTCTTTGGATTGTCTCCAGGTAAAAAGCGATAGTTGGTTCACAGCGTCGGATGGACCCACTTGGGTCAGTGAGTTCAGCTTTTATTCTGAAAGGAACCGTTGCTTGGTTGGTAAAATGCAACAGATTTTATCCAGTTTGTTGGTTCTTTGCTTAAAAAGGAAGTCTGAATGGCCAGTCCGATACTTCGCTTAGCATGCGGTGAAGTGCAGAGAACTCAGAGAACTGTTGAGAACTCCAGTGAGATCTTGAGAACTGAACTTAAGATGGTGTGGGAACTGGTTTTATTAATCTGGATATTTTGATTTCTGGTCTAATCAAAGTTGTCAGATTTATAAACACCACAGAGACTATGCCATGCTTCCGAAAGGAAGGTTCTGATTGGATGAGTAAACAATGTGTCATGTGTTTACATTACGCATAGTCAGAATGTCTAGTGCAGCTAGATTAAGTCATATTACTTATTAAAGCATATTAATCATAACATTGTCGTTTCACAGATCGGTCATCATCTTATTATTGACTAACACTTTGTTTGATTAGCTTTATTAAAAATAGAGTTCTTTGAGTTATCAAAAGGAAAATGAACATTTAATAAAAATACCTAATATCCTTTATCTTCAATCTTCTCTTGAGCTGGAAAGAATGCAGTTTTAGAAGCGAATGCATGACCTTGAGGCAGTCTTATGCCGCTTAGTACTGTATCAGAGGGATCTGTGGAGAGAAGGTAAATACACAAGGTTTATCTCCATCCAGTGTTGCATTAATGTTTCTCCAAAATCTTGCACTGATGGAGGCAGGGCTGGATTATCATTGCAGGGGCCCCTGGGCACAATGTGCTTAGGGCACATCCTGTTGCTGAACCTAGATCTGACCAACTGCAGCAACCCCAGATCATAGCACTGCCCCCACAGGCTTGTATGCTCTAGGCATGATGGGTGCATCACTTCATCTGCCTCTCTTCTTACCCTGATGCACCATCACTCTGGAACAGGGTCCATCTGGACTCAGACCAGTTCTTAATAATGCACTGGACAGTTCTGAACTCAATTTTAGTCATTTCTGAAATCTCCTTAGATGTTTTCTCTGCTTGATGCCAATGGTCTGACCCTTCTCAGACTAACATCTTTTCCAATACCACCAGATATTGCTTTCCACATGGTTGTTTAAAAAATGAGAAGCAACTCATTGCACCAGTTGGTTAAATAACTTGTTGCCAGCTGAAAGATAACCGCCCATGCAGTAATTATCCAATAGGAGGCTCCTACCCGTTCGCTTTGTTAAATCCAAGTACTGACTTTTCTTTGGCCGAGCAGCGTATTTAACGATCACTATGAAAAAAATATTTAGCATTTAACAGTCAGTAAATCTATTTCTGTTTTGAGATCATTATGATTTAATAACTTTGTTTTATTTTGTTTTGATCTATGTGAAGCACTTTGTTATTCTATGTCTGTGATAAGTGCTATATAAATAAAATGTACTTACTAATTTACTTACTATATCTCACAGATTTAAAGTTATTTTTTGAATACTTCTTAATATTCAGATTTTAAAAATTGTATCCAATTTTCAAGGAGCCTGATCTGTTCAATGTCAAACCTGCTGATTGACACAGACTTACTGCTCTGGATCTGTCATGATGACCTGGTTCAGATCTACAGTTGATCATTTGTTCGTTGTGTTAATTGGAATAATTTATTACAAATTATCTCATCCCTCGCGACCTTGCATGCGAGTAATGAAAAAGGATGGATGGAAACAATATTTTCTTACCTGTTCTCTTTTCTCAGAACAAACAAAAAAATAATGTTTTTATTCATTCATTTATTTATTTATTTTCATAAAGAAACACATTTAGGTTTCATTTTGGCATCGGTGTGGTATGGTATGGGCTGAACAGAAAAAGTGACTCTTGGCTAAAAAATGTGGAGCTGAAACAAAGATTAATATTTTAATAGAATTAATACAATACCTGTTTGCCAGTCAGTTTCAATAGTGATGAGAACAAATGAACTGTTACAAAGTCAAATATTAAGAAAGTCCTCCACACCTCTGTTTGCTTCTTAGAAAATCATTATTGAAACGTGACATCATAAACATCAGCATTTCCTGGGAACAATCATTACGACGTTCATATTTTCAGTTACAACAAAATAGACAAATTAATATTAGGTAAATAAAATTGTCCCTTTGTCTAAAAAGAGACATTTTTATTTATGGAGTCCAAAAGTTAGTTTATATTTTTATGAACTTTGGTCTGAGAATAAAGCCTAAAATCTCCCTCCTCATGATGACACAAGACAAACGTGTGTTTTCCAAGAGGACAAAACAAAAAGCAGTTTTTTATATTGAAAACATATTTTTTTAAAACAGAGGTAAATATAAATTTATGAATGCTCCTACTAAATTACAAACTTCTCTTAGAAAGCTTTGTGTGGAGGTTAAAGATGTGGAACAATCTTTGGTATGTTCTTACTGTGTTGAATTTTCTAACTGCATTGTTGGTTCTTTTTTAAAACACAGAAAATGTTTCTGTTTTATCTTGCTAGGTAAAAAGAAACATTTACAAACATATACGACAATGTTTCCTGGATGTTAAACCAACAACAGCCTTCCCTGATGTGAGTGAGTCCATAAATGTTAGGAAACAGTGAGATGTAGATCCGTCAGTCTTTTCTAATCCTAGAGTTTCACAGTCTATTTCCTATCAGAAGATAATGCAGGAGACAGGTGTAGGAGACTATTTTCATGCTAAGGCTGCATGAAGAAATCAGAGTGACTGAATATAATCAGAAAACACATTTAAAATGGTTTTTCAGTCAACCACACCTTTAAGAGGTTTTAGCAGCTTATAGGTGTTTAGTAACTCCTGACCATCTGAGAAGGGTCAAAGTTCATTTTCAAATAATTTAAAGTCAAATGATTGGAAAACCACTGAGTCAGTAGCCAGCCTTCCTATGAGGAAGTCTGCTCCCAAAGACAGAATGTTCAGAGTTAATGAAAACAAAAAAAATCCCCAAACATCCGTTTCAGGAACTTCTAACAGCATGTCATTTATTCAATTTGATGACAGCAGAAGTCAGGAAAATACTTTCAAGATCTAATGATTTGCAAAGCTGCTTTTAAAAACCAAACATGTCATATTAAAATGTGAAGCACGGCAGTGGAAGGATGGTGGTTTGAGGTGGGTGCAGATTCACTCACCTGTAAATCATGGCAACAGAGTCAAATGGGAGAGCTTCTGTTTGACACGTGAAATGTGGATTCAAGTGAATAATCTCATCACATACAATGGCTGAAATTTTAATTTTAGAGCAATTTTCAGGAATTATTTCCAAATAATTCAAATGAAGCAGTGTTGCTGTGAATGTGACAGAGTCACGATAAGTCCACGTATTCACACAATGCCAAAAACATTCAGACCAAAAGAGAATGTTATTTTTTTTCCATGACAGTAAATATTGAAAAAGTAGGCATATTTTATTACTACGTATTTGCCACATAATGATTTCAAGTGTGACTCCTGCCAACCAACGGGCTTTCCAAGAACAAAGGTTACCACCAACCCGTAGTCCAGGGTGGAGTTTTCTATTCAGCTTATTAAAAGCGTTATAAAACCTAGAGGACAATCGTATCAACAAACGGACATTTGTCTTACTCCTTTATTTGTGTTTGATCATGCTGATGTTCACTATTGACTTTACAGAAAACCAATGAAAAAACACAGGAGTGGATTTTAAGGTTAGGAGTCAATTGCAAAAAAAAAAGGTGTGTTACTGGAAAGTCTTTCAAAAAAAGAGGTAAAAAATCAGCAATGATCTGCAACTTAACCCCAAAGAACACAAAGAATAATGGTTGCTTCTGATGGAATTCCCAGTCATAAACACAAAGCTTTCTTTTTAACTAGTCAGTCCTAAGTTTTAGTTGTCACACTTCCACCTCCTTCTGTCCCTCCTCTGGAGATTCCTCAGGTTTTGCAGCTTCGGTTTTCTCCATTTTCGCTCTGCGACGCTCTGCCTCTGTTATCGTCATGGGGTGCAGCGGGAAAAATCCTGACAACCCTGCAGAGAACAAGAAAATATTCTTTCTTTTAACCTCAGAAACTGATCTAATTTATTTGAGGACATTGATTCAGGATATTTAGAACTATCACATTATTTAATGACAAAAACAGTTGAAGGTTTGTTGTAACTAGGGGTGCAACGGTACAGGTAGCCCACGGTACGGTCCGTACCTCGGTACTTAGGCCACGGTCCACGGGACGGTTCGGTACATGTTTGTGCAGAAGGAGACAGCGTTTATTCTAAAACATGCATATTATTTTTTCTTCAGAGCGAAAACAGAATGTCACAATTGTAAGGACATCAGTATATGAAATAAGTTAACATTCTCTGCATTGAACACTAATACCCTCTTTCAATTATCACTTGTATGCAATACAAAATATATAAAAAAATTACAAAATGTAAACAAAGACACTTGAAAATATTCTAATGGTTCCCAACCATGATACGTGATACATGAGGTAAGCAATGCAAAAGTAAAAGTGCATTTTGCGTTTTAACAAACAGGAGTTAGCTTGTGCTGTAACATCACAGAATGGAATAAATGAACCAAGTGCTTGGTTGGCTGTGGTGGTGTGGTGAAAAAAGGTGACAACTTTCCTCACTTTCCCAAGGAGGCGGGACACACCGTTGATTGACACAACCCTCTTTGCAGCGAGATTCACAGTGTGAGCAAAACAGCTAATCTGGGGTCCCAGCTCAACAGTTTCATTAACTGCATTAACAATGTTTGGAGCATTATCTGTGGCGACGGGTATAGTTTTGTTTGGCCGCTCCAGCTTCCACTCGGTGACTGCATTTTTATCTCTTCTGCTAAATGCGCACTTGTGTGGCTTTCATAGAGGGGGCGAGTCTGCAGCACGGCGCTTCATCTCCCAGTCCAGCATGTAGTGAGCCGTCACAGTCATGTAGCTCTGCGTTGCCTGAGAAGTCCAACTATCAGTTGTCAGTGCGAGGCTTTCTGCCTTAGCCAAATCACTCTCGATGGCGTTGCGCGTTTTGTCGTAAAGACCAGGGATGACGACCTGACTAAAATGTGTGCGACTGGGCACAGAATAACGTCGGTCGAGCGTCTTCAATAAATGTTGAAAACCAAATTTAAAGATTTAAAAGAGCCTGGTGCCTCTTCAAACTCTTTCCTTTCAACTCCACTGCAGCTCGCCATTTCCTCGTGTCTCTTCGTTCTCAGCCAGCCGCTTACTGTAGTAAGAGTTTGTGAGTGAGGACGCGGATGCACAATGGTGATTGGACATTAACTTGGGGGTGGGCCTTTCATCTACCTGGACCGGCAAACGCATGGTGCCAAGCATGAAATAAAAGAGCAGCGCAAAATCAATGGGAGTACTGAAGTCCCGCGGGACAGGGGGGCGGATTGTCCCGTGCAGGGCGTACCGAACGGTCCGGTATTTTACCGCATACCGTTGCATCCCTAGTTGTAACCACATAAAAAAATCATTTCATTTTTAACTCTTTTTAGGAAAGGATGCATAAGGTATCAGCTTTTTATTTCATCAGTAATAATAACACTTAAGAGTTTTTAAACACTTGAAGCTATTGCATTCAAACCGGTTTCAGTGATTCTTGATTAAATTAACATTGGACAGCCCTCTGCTGACCAGAAACTGTACTGAACAGTTTTGTAGTTTGGATAGGAACACTAGTGGGAGGTCTTCTTTATGGCAATAGCTGTTTACTGTTCTGGTAGCTAATATAAAGGCTAGCAGTTAGGTTTCTCAGTTCGCTGAGTCAATAAAAAGCACAAGAACAAGAATTTAGATTTTGTTGTTGGCATCATGGTGGAGCCTGGAAGTAAAAGTAAGAGACTAATGTCTTTGGAAGTTAAACAAAAAGCTAAAAACCAGCGTGAACATCGATGAACTACACTAGTTTGAGGGAGCTGAAGGAGGCAACTAAATCACAGACTGATGGTGACCTGGCTTTGTTGCTGCTGGACTTCTAATCATATTTTTTGTCCAACAGTGTGGATCTTTTTACTTTGTGTCCTATTTAGCATCAGTTGGCTTGTGTTAGCATTAGCACTTTGTTAGCGTTATCTACAGCAGGCTGTGGTAGGGTTTTATTTTTACAACAGTTGAAATTCTGCTTTTAACCAGTAGAATGGAGAAGCAGGAAAACTTATTTAGTGCTGCTTTAATTATTGGAACCAAAGAGCAACAAGGTGATTCATGGCAAAGTGAATCTATCAATCTATCTTCATCCACTCATCTGGGGTCAGGTCATGGGGGCAGCAGCCTAATCAGAGGATCAGACTTCCCTCTCCCCAGTCACGTGAGCCAGCTCTTCTGAGGGGACTCCCAAGGCATTCTCTGGCCAGCCGAGAGATTTAGTCCCTCCAATGTGTCCTGGGTCTACCTTTAGGCTTCCTCCCAGTTGGACGTGCTTGGAAAACCTCACCAGGGAGGCATCCAGCAGGCATCCTAACCAGATGCTTGAGTCACCTCAACTGGCTACTCTCGACGTGGAGGAGCTGCAGATCTACTCCGAGCCCCTCCCGGATGACCGAGCTTCTCACCCTATCTCTAAGGGATAGCCCAGCCACCCTGCGGAGAAAACTCATTTTGGCAGCTTTTATCTGTGATCCCTTTCTTCCGGCAAATGAGCAATGTTACCTAAATATATTCATTTATTGAGGCAAATTTAAAATAAACTCCTAAAATAACCAATGACTTGAAAAATTTTTCTGCATGAATATCGTTTAAAAGTTATAGAAGTTCAAAAGAGATGTAGACGAACCCTCCTTGATTAAACTTTTTCGGGGGGTTTTTATGGCTGACTGAATAATTTTAAAAGGACGGCAAAAAAAGTGTCATGTTGATCCAAGCTGAATGAAGTGAACACACACCCAGAAGTTTGGCCACTGGTTTTGTTGGGTGAGCGCCACAACCGATCCAGTACTTGATCCGGTCGAAGTTGAAGCTGATGAGCTTCTCGTTGTAGATGTTAGGGAGTGGGTCATACGTCCCCAGCTGCTCGATGTATTTGCCGTCTCTCGCTCTTTTGTTGTACGCAGCCACGATGCGGTAAAAAGGTCTGTTGGCTTGTTTGTGACCCGCGAGAGCGAGCCGGATGACAACAAAACCTCCGCGGTACGTCTTCAGGAGGAGAGATGCTGTGGAAGGCAATAGGAACAATAAGCATCGTCAAAAAAAAAAAAAAAAGAATTGCAACACACACACACACACCTCCTGTGTCTCTTCTCTGCTTTTTAATCTTATTTGTTATAATTAAATGTATCTTTCTTTAAATTATGTCACAACAGGCCAGGAAAAAGAAACAGCTTTTGCTGCACAGTTGCTGCTTAATGGATCAAAAACCACAATATCAGAAAACACTGGAATCATGTACACACTGGCACATTAACAAGGGGAAAATGTGTGTTTTCATCTAAAGAGAATATATACTGACTGGTATTCAACACTTCCTAAAGAACTTTACAGAAATGCAATAAAAAAATTATTATTGATCAAAGCAGTGAGTCAGAAGTTAAAGTCTCACTGGTGTGTGGTGAATAGTCCTTCCCATTTGGCCCTTCCCCATGGGAAGCGGTGAGCTGCAGACACGGCCGCGCTCCAGAACTATTTGGTGGTTTAACCCCCAATCCAACCCCTTAAAGCTGATTGCCAAGCAGGGAATCACTGGGTCCCATTTTTATAAAGTATTTGGTATCTCCCAGTCCTAGGGCAGACACTCTAAGGCCACTGAGCTGGTAGTTATTGATGTTAAGCTTACTTTGCAGTCTGCAATCATTAAATGTAATTTATGCACATTTTTTGAAAATGTTTTATTGGTAAATTTTTAAAACATAAAATGCTAAAAAATTATTTCTTATAAAAATACATTTTATTTGTCAAGAGGAGGGGGTCCGGAAGTTTTGGTCCGGGGTCCACATTTAGCTTTTTGTAGTTTTAGCTAATATAATAATGAATTAAATCTAAATTCATAGTTACAGACTAGGCTGAGCTGTTTTCAGATGTAATCCTGTAAGGAGCAAAGCTAACTGACCAGTTCAATCTCAAACTCTCCACCGTTTGCTACTTAATCTGACTTCTAGACAAGCTGCAAAAAAAAAAAAAAAATCACCACAAAAATAAAACACTTTTAAATGCATTTAAACACGAATCTTAGAGGAAATAAAGGCGAGTTGTGCACACATGATGAGACACTGAAACCAGGCTTTCAGCAAAAAATGAGAAGCTATTCTGATCTCTGGAAAAATAAACAAAGTATTAGTTTTAAGTAAATGGTGGTCTTTTTATGAAAGAAATGCAGTCAGTCGTGAATAAATGTCTGAACTGGACTATTTTTATGTCTCTAAACTTTGTCTTTTCTTTGTAAATCAAGTTTTTATTTCATATAAGTTTGTTAGTATATGTGCAAACTGAGCCATTTAACATATAATGTTGTTTGTCTTGAAAACATAATAGGTGTATTATTTTATTCCATTTCTTTTTTTTATTTGTTCCAAATAAATAAATAATAATAAAATTAGATTAAAAATCTATTTTATGTTTTTGATGTTCTTTTGCACCTGAAAAGCACATGTAATTGCCTGTGTGTGTGTGAAACGTGTTATATAAAGCTGGGTGCCTTCAAGTGTAAGCTTTATTAAATATGTGGTGAAACACAGGATTGTGCAGTTGTGTCACAATGCCTATATTTATAAAAAAAAAACAATAAATACTCACATAAATGCACCATAGTTTCTGCTCAAATATCCTGCAACAATCAAATAAATCCCACGTTAGCATAAATACATTTGAAAACGAGGACAAATAGCGAATATACGTGGTTTTAAATTAGCTGAATGAGCTAAATATACCTCTGTACACGTTAAATGAAACAAATACCACTTCTCAGATCCGGCCTCTTGTCGTTTCAGGCCGTTCAGTAAGAAAAAATCCGAAATTTAACTGCGTGATTTCAGCAGATGTGACATTTACCAGGGCGCAGCCATGTTTAAACAGGAAGTGACGTAAGGAAGCGTCTTTATTTTCTTGCCACTAGACGGCGCAAATGTACCGCTGTAAACAGAACGAGATTACTAATGCGCCTTAAAATCGAAGAGGTTACATTTTTAATCGTTCTTGAAATAAAATTGTTCTAATTACAACTTAGAGAGCAGCTTAGTTTGAAATTTGATTTGACTTTACTTTTTATTTTATATGATGAGAGAGAGAGAGAGAGAGAGAGAGAGAGAGAGAGAGAGAGAGAGAGAGAGAGAGAGAGAGAGAGAGAGAGAGAGAGAGAGAGAGAGAGAGAGAGAGAGAGAGAGAGTTAACAAACTTAAGCAAAATCTCTTTTAGGAGTCGGACAGATGTTAAAGTATAATGAATTACATTAAGAAAGTGTCAGGTTTGGCTTCAGTAAATGAACAATACAGTGTTAAAATAATACAGAAAGAAAGAAAGAAAGAAAGAAAGAAAGAAAGAAAGAAAGAAAGAAAGAAAGAAAGAAAGAAAGAAAGAAAGAAAGAAAGAAAGAAAGAAAGAAAGAAAGAAATGAATGTGCATCTATGTGGTTAACTGCCCTTAGACTGACTTTTTACATAGTTCTCAGGTTTTATGTCTCTGTTTCACATTAAGGTTTGTTTTCTATTTCTACATTACTTCAAATTGTGTTTTTAAACAATGCCGGCCTACATGTCAACACGTTATTATTAACATTTCTTTCTCTAATTTATTTTGAATGCTGTCTATAGGGTTACTTTGCTTTTTTATCTGATTATCTTATTTCGGTTAAATTAAATTAATCAAATTCTAAATCATAGAAGGATGGAGTGGTATCGAGTGATAATTATTTAAAATTTCTAGATCAAGGAACTTTTAAGCTCTAATAACACTAATCACAACATGCCCTATAGGTTATAAATTGTAAGTCGCTTTGGATAAAAGCGTCTGCTAAATTAATAAACAACCTAAACATAAACATAATAAAACTGTTCTTTTGGAAAGGAAATTTCAGTAAAAACTGTGTTTTTATATATCAGACAAAAAGCAATCACATTCGTTTCTACTATCACTAAACCTGATGATGTTGAACTGATGCTGGAAATTCTAGAAAAGGGAAATTTCTACAAATTTCAATAACTTTTCACAAAAACAATACCATCTTTGAAAATTCCGATGTTTGAAGATACATCACACTGTATATACAGCTACATCCGTATTATCAGCCATGCACACAACATGTCTTGTCTGTGATTCACACTCTGCATTTGTTCTGCGTCCAAAATGAACAACACATTGGTTTTTGAATCAGTTTCCTCTGCTGACCGCAGCAGAGATGAAAATACTGCTTTCCTGAGGCAAATCATAAATCCAGTGGCCTTGTCTTTGCCTGATGTTGTCCGAGTCTGGAGATGTTTTAGCCCACTGGAAGCCGCATCGCCCTGCTACCGCTCTTCGTCTTGGAACATGGTGATTTCACACTCCTGTTGTGTAAAGCTTGTTTTTCAGTGTGTGAAACAAACACATGGTTTTCTGAGAGAGTGGGTCACCAAAGACACAAAAAAGATGAGCTCTTGTTTGTATTTCTGAAAATATTCAAATGTCCCTGTGTGACTTTATTATTAAACAGGAAAAATAAGGATCCACATTATTTAATTTGTGACTCACTTCACTTCTCCCTAAACAAAACATTAGAATAAAAGCTATTTCAGTTTCAAAAATCAGCAGGTAACAACCGAAAAATAGATCAGATACAACTATAACTTCATCATGTTCCATGTTTATTCAAAAACATTCTTAAAGCATAAAAAGTGAAACAAATCTGTTCTGTCCTAATGAAGGGAAGCCATTTTTGGAAAAAAGGCCATTAAAACCTGTTTCTGACATTTGTTTAGTATTTTTCTCTCTCCCTTTGATCTAAGTTATTGTCATCATAATTTTAGCTTTTATATGATGAATCCATCCATTATAGTCTCACCTAAGACTGTTATAAGTCCATTTTTTTCATATAGCACTCATCACAGAAAGAGAATCACAAAGTGTTTTTCAGGGATCAAGAAAACAAAATAAATCCTAAAGTAAAAAAAAACATAATTGTCTTACAAGCAAAAGCAAAATATAAAATTTATTTTAATCAGAAAAAAAGTCATGATATTTTTAAATGATCATAAATAAAATCAAAGAAAAAAAGAGTTAAATAAAAGAAAAATACAAAATATTTAGGTAAAAGCAGCTTTAAATAAAAGTAATATTAAGGAGCATGTTCCAACTTCCTAATATTTATGTGCTAAATGAAATAATACAATGATGTGTTAAACAACACCTGCAGCTGTATAGAGCTCCGGACGTCACGTGACTCTCAGAGGGTAGACGCCATGTTGGCAGGCAACAAATGTAAACAAAATGAAGAGGATCGGCTTGGATTTTACTTCGTCAGAGTTTACTTCACACTTTAAAACTGAAGAAATCGTTTTATATAGTCAGAAATTAAATAGACTAAACATTTCCGACCCTGACTGTGCCCCTGGGATACTTTTTTAAAAACGCCAGAAGCTGTCGGAGCGGACTTCTTACCGGACCTGGCCAGGGAACGCCTTGGGATTCCCCCGGAGGAGCTGGCCCAAGTGGCTGGGGAGAGGGAAGTCTGGGCCTCTCGACTTAGGCTACTGCCCCCACAACATTTCAGCCCGGTCACTAGTGCGTTTTATTACAATGATCCAACGTTTGCGGCATTCCGGATCTTGGGGAATCCTGTAGATGGCTCATCCCTTATGTCGTCCGCGTCTGTTCTGCATCCTGTGGCACAACAGGAATCTACCATATTTCCAGTTTGATTGAGTTTTCTGACAATAACAAATAGTCCAGCTGCGGGCTTCTGCCTGCCAATATGGCGCCGTTTCGATTTGAACTGTTGCATGCCGGGAGATGTGACATCAACTCCCGGAGCTCTATACCTGCCTGGTCAACCAACTGGTGGCATATTTACATCTCACTGAAGCATTCTGTGAACTTAACAAAAAACAAACTAGTAAACTAAAATTTTCTTTTAAATATGGAGATGTTTGAAGAAAATGCATAAATTATTACATTTCATTGTCATTACCTCAATATCACAACAGTGATTATTGTTTTACTATTAAATTATGTTACACCAAAACCCTGATTGATCAAAAAATGCTAAAGACATAAATTCTCAGTTTTTTTAATGGTAAGATGATTAAATGGTAAAGTTACTTGTACTGAAACCATTCCTTAGAAAAACTTTCAGCCATAATGTTCGAGGTATTCGGAAACCTTTGTTTAATTGTCTTTTTCTTGTCTAAAACAGCTAAAAAGCTTGTTTGTGAAGAGCTTCATTCTGCTTGAGTAAAGTTGCAAATGGCCTTCATCTGACTAACAATATGGTGGACTTTATAATGTTTCTGCTGTGGTTTGTTGAAGTTCACACATTTTCATAAATATACCACAATTTCACATTTGCGTAATAAAGTCATATTTAATTTAAAAAATTCATGTTAAGGTGTTCCACAAGGTTCTGTGTTTGGGCAGGTTTAGTTCTCAGATTTTTTTTTTCTTTAAGTGATGTCCTCAGTGAACATCTGAAGCATTTCCCAGCACAATCGTTTCCATTTTAATTAATAAACTGCATGTATAATTTTTTATCGACCTGTCCTGTTCTGGCGGTTGAAGCAGACATAATTGTTTATCTGGGTGTAACAGCAGTTTTACTGCACAACCCAAAGGAAGTGAGACACTTCTCCTGTTGTGCAAATGACCTTATTATGTTTGTGGCATGATAAACCACATCTGCTTAGGCACCAAAGTGGACAAGCAGCATGAAAAAAGACAGACAACAAAAACGGGGAACGAGAGAGAAAACGGGGATTATAATTCTTCTCATCCTGGATCAGTCCTGGTCTATTGTCCTAGAAGAACATTCCAGCAACACCTTGCAAGGCATCCACCTGAATCACCTCAGTTGACTCCCCTAGACACAGAGGATACACCTGGATGTCTGAGGTCCTCACACAACCACTAGCATGGCCACCTGCCAGATGAAATAGGTGTCTATATGTTCAATCTCACTCATCACCCAAAGATCAGGACCATGGACTGGTAAATTAGGAGCTTTGCTTTCTGGCTCTGCCCCTTCCTCACCATGACAGAGTTTGCTTTAGTGCAGAGGCAGCCCTGAAAGAGAAACATGATGCAAAGCAACAATTAATCTCTGTGCACAATGCTCAAACACCAGGGCAGGAGCTGACATAGAGTAACATAGGGAGAGACGCTGATCACACTGAACAGATTTGAATAAGGCAAGCAGTGACATTTGGACATTTCGCGTCTTCGTCAGAGTGACATATCATTGGCAATAGTGGCAGAGGAAATAAATGTCCGTCCCGTAACCAAGGGTTGCAGGTTTGAACCTTGCTCAGTCTGTCACAGTCATTGTGACCTTGAGCAAGGCACTCATCCCTGATTGCATTGAAGTGGTCAGTTGAACCGGTGGCACCAGAGTACTGTAGCCTTGCTTCTGTCAGTGCTCCTCTGGGCAGCTGCCTACATTGTAGTTCATCACCACCGGGTGTGAATGTGTGTGGGTGAATGACTGGGTTGTGTTGTGAAGCACCTTAGGGGTGATCAAACCCTAGGTGTTGCATAAAAATGGGCTATTTACCACATCATACACTGATGTATAAACAGGTGAGATGGAAGCTTGAGAGCCTCTATCTGAGGTTGTACCTATATACCTCATATTTCAGTTTTTTTATTCACATGTGTCCTTTAGGCCTGACATCTGCATAGACCCGCCCCATTGAATGCTAAAGCCATCTATGTATGAGCAAGACAGAGCCAAGCCTCGCCTGTTTATTCTGTATTGGAACGTTAGAACCAGTGATGTGACATTCACGAACAAAACGCATCTTATGAACTGACATTTAAAGTGAACGATGAGAGCCAAGTCCTTGTAGAAAGCCATATATCTTGTCTTCTAGAAGTTCCAGTACCTCCCCACCCACACACTGGTTAAAAACTCCCCTCC